GCCTTGCGACCATGTTTTTCACTCTGGCTGTCTCCAGCGATGGATGGACATCAAAATGGAATGTCCAACTTGTCGTCGATCTTTACCTCCGCTGTAATATAAAATTTCTTTCGCTCTGGTATGTGCTTGACTTTCGTGAGGTATGGAGTGCTTTAGTTGGTGAGACGATAGATAGATAGAATTCATTTTTTCGATCTCTATCTATCTATCTCGCTTCCTTTTTTTCTTTTTCTTTCTCTCCCAGGCGAGAAACGTATTTGAAAGGTTGGTTCTCTTTTGTTTTATGTTGTTATGGTTTTAATTCTTCTTCCGTTTTTTTCCTTTTTCTTTCTCAGGACTGACACGGGCACACGAACAGGCAACAGGCAATTAAGTGAAATCTTTGTAGCGGGCAGACAAGCATACCTCATCAAAACGAGTGTTTTCACTCAGCCGGGTCTCTCGAATCGAATCGTCCTCTCCGAGTACAAGGCAAGCATTTCAACGTTTGAGTCAGTGGTTTATTTTTTTTGTTTTTTTTTTTTTTTTGTTTTTTTCCCCATCTCCATCTCATTTTTATTTTTTTCCGTGGAAGTTTTGCTAGATTTGTAGCTCTAGCGAGTCGTAGCTCTCTTTCGTCTTTGAGTCCCTGACCCGACGACCATCGATCGTTGTCTGGTGGTTTGGAAGTTTCAGTCGCGACCGTTCTAATGCTGTGCTATTGATGATCTCAGAAGCTATGGTTTTAGCACCAATCCAGTGCTTTTTCAACGCCAAATGTTCTTAAAGTAAGATGGCAGTGGTCTCTTCGCGATTGTGAATGGATCCTCTCCGTTCTCCAATCATTCGCTTAAAAGAAAAAATCGTAAAGAAAGAAGCAACTTTCGCATTGTTTGTATCTATCAACTTGTTTGGTGATAAGATCCAGGATGTACTAGATTAAAAAACCATGCTGCCACTATTTGGACATTCCCCGCAATAGAAACCACGTACTGGAAAAATCCATAAAAATTAGCATATGCCAGCATATGCCACATGGGCCGTGACGTCATTGTGGTCATGGCCATGGGCCCATTTTATTTCAAAGAGGAGAGAGCTCTGTGCGTTTTGTTCTCCGCTGTCCAGCGCTTTGTCCCCGCGCTTCGCATCGAATCCCTGCTCTTCTCCTCGACGATCCGCCACGGCCGCGTCTTGACGCCACTGTCAGCGGCAATGTAGCTTCTTTCCTCGCGCGAATGCGATTCCAGCGATTTCCAGGTCAGGCACCGCGGTTTCTAGTCGATTCTAGCTCCGGAGAATGGGATTTCAGTGATTCTAGCCCCGATTCTAGCTGTGAGGGAGGTTGTTGCGGGTATTCCAGCGGTTCCAGCTGCGAGCACGCAGATCTGGGCGAGCTAGGTCATGAAGAAGCTTAGCTAGTCTTTCCCCGGCTCGGGAGGGTGGGCAATGGCAGAGCAGCGGCAGCGCGGCTCCGCCGAGGAGCTTATCAAGGTCGTCAATGCCGTGGCATGGATTGGGGGGCGGACGAAGCTCTACAAGAGGGAGTGCTCCCAGCTCGTGAGGAGGCTCAGATTGATGCTGCCATTGCTCGAGGAAATCCGCGAGCTCAAGCACCATTCCCTCCCCGACGATGCTGTGACTGGCCTTCTAACGGCAACTCTCAACGCAAAGCAGCTGGTTTCCTTGTGTCAAGCGGGACCCAAGCTGTACCTGGTACGTACGAAGAGATCTTTCGCGAATTCCATGTCTAGCAAAAGATTGATTTTTTCGTTTGTTGGTTCTCTCGTTCTTTATGCCTAGGTGCTCGAGAGGGAGACACTGACTAAGAGGTTTCTCGAGATCGCGAGACTTTTAGCTGGGTCTCTGGATCATTTGTCGCTGGAGAAGCTGGATGTTTCAGACGAAGTCTGCGAACAGGTATTCTAGCATACGAGTTGTGAGCTTGTTCTCATCGCTGGAATGTTTTGTTTCTCAGGTCCAGCTTCTTCATTCCCAGCTCAAGAGGGCAAAGATCTGTGCCAACACCCTTGAAGCCCGGCTGCACGACGATCTCCTCAGTGTTATATCCGGCACTCCTGAGGAGGTGGACCAGTCGGCATTGCGCAGGCTGGCGGAAGGTTTGAATCTCAAAACTTCCGCCGAGGTACGAAAGGAAAGTCAAGCTTTCCATAAAGTGAAGGGAGAGAACGGGATTGATGAGAGAGTAAAGAGAGCTCTTCAGCTGCTCAGCTCTATCCAAACGCCCGACAACACTGCTGCTCCGGAAGATCTCTCCAGTCAGATGGCGCGCACGGATGCGTCAACTCTCGCTGTAATACCTGATGATTTTCGCTGTCCCATATCCTTGGAGCTCATGAAGGATCCCGTGATCGTGGCTACTGGACAGGTTCGCTTTCACGTTTTCTTTCTTCTCTCTTCTCATAAGCATGCTTGCAGACTTATGAACGAGCAAGCATCCAGAAGTGGCTTGACACGGGCCATAAAACCTGTCCCAAGACACAGCAAGTTCTTCCCCATCAGGTGCTCACGTCAAACTTCGTGCTAAAGAGCCTCATCTCCCAGTGGTGCGAGAGCAATGGCGTGGACTTCCCTCAGAGGATGGGGACCAGCCGAAAGAGCTGCGCGGCCGAGAACTCTTCTTCCCCGGAGCGAGCAACCATCGACGGGCTCGTCCAAAAGCTCGCGAGTGGCCAGCCCGACTTACAGAAGGCCGCTGCAGGGGAGATCCGGCTGCTCGCGAAGAAAAGCGCCGAGAACCGAGACTGCATAGCCGAGGCCGGAGCGCTCCGTCACCTGGTGAATCTCCTCGCAACCAAGGACCTCCGGACGCAAGAACACGCAGTCACGGCTCTCCTCAACCTCTCCATCAACGACAACAACAAAGGTCCCATCGTCATGCTCGGGGCCATCGATCCCATCGTGGAGGTGCTCAAGTCGGGCAGCATGGAGGCCAGGGAGAACGCCGCCGCGACGCTCTTCAGCCTCTCGGTGGTGGACGAGAACAAGATCACCATCGGCGCCTCGGGGGCGATCCCGGCGCTGGTGGAGTTGCTCCGGGATGGAAGCGCCAGGGGGAAGAAGGACGCGGCCACCGCCCTCTTCAACCTCTCGATCTACCAGAGCAACAAGGCCCGAGCTGTGCGATCCGGCGTCGTCCCCCACCTCATGGACTTGCTCGTCAACCAAAGCATGGCGATGGTGGACGAGTCGCTCACCATCCTCGCGATACTGGCGACGCACCCGGAGGGGCGGCTGGCGATCGGGCAGTCCGGGGCGGTGCCGGTGCTGGTGGAGCTGATCAAGACGGGGTCGCCCAGGAACAGAGAGAACGCGGCGGCGCTGCTCTATGCCTTGGGTGTCAACGATTCGAGCCATCTGGTGGCGGCGCTGGAGCTGGGAGCGGCGGAGGCGCTGGCGGAGCTCTCACAGAATGGGACTGCGAGAGCCAGGAGGAAGGCCAACGCGCTGCTGGAGCTGTCGAGCAAGCACCAGCACCAGCAGCAACACCATCGCTGTTCATAGATTCTTCTTCTACGAGATCCAGCTCTTTGACTCTTTTTGACTATTGTTTGACCTGGATTGACTGCCAGGACTTGCAGTTGCCACCTTTTGGACGTGTAACGATTGCCTGCATGGCTACGAATGTTAAAAAAAGTATTTATAGTATTAACAAAGCTTATGCTATTGTTTGACCTGGGAAAATCCGCCACCTTTTGGACGTATGCGCCTCTACTCAGTTATTAGAAAGCTCAACATTGTCTAAGAGACGAACACTACCAAACCATGCAGCAATTGCAAACACCGATGGCTTCGTAATTTTATCAACACTTTTCAGCGTTTCTTGGTCGACGATCTAAGCACAAAAACATTAGATTGAACAGCCAAGAAAATTTATAAATCTTACGCTTGCATAATCCACTTTGCCACCTGCATTGCTGATGGCAGTCACTGCCTGTTCTATAAGAACACTGGAATCCGTCTCGCCAGATCTCACAAGCTCCTCAGCCCTCTTGAGCGAATGGAAGATCGCCAAAGCCTGAGCCAAAGAAAGAGAGACTAGTAGTTAGAAGAGTCACAAAGAACTTTACATTTTTTCTTTCGGTCGCAGTGAGTCTAACGTTCCGGGAGCTCATTGCAAGGCCATCAGCTTCTCGTACAAGCGGGCAGCCGATCACCTCCACTCCAAAGTCCAAATCCCTCACCTAAGTTAAGGCAAGAACTATAAAAAATGAGCTTCAATTGAAAAAACAAAACGACGAAAGGAATGGAGGAAAACGAAGAAATGAATGGAAGAAAACGAAGAAAGGAATGGAGGAAAGCGAAGAAATGAATGGAAGAAGACGAAGAAAGGAATGGAAGGAAAGAAAATGAAAGAGCTTACCATTCGAGCCAGGACTCGCCATTGTTGGTAATCCTTCTTGCCAAACACGACCACGTCCGGCTCCACAATGTTGAGAAGCTTGGACACCACGGTAGCAACACCCCTGAAGAACAATGGACGGCTTCCACCGCAAAGAGACTTTTCCAAGTTCTCCACCCGGATCCAAGTCTCGTGGCCGGACTCACCATTCTTCTCGGGTGACTCTCGGACATACAAGTCGTGTGGATTGAAAATGATGTCCACGCCAAGTGGCTGCTCCAAAAAGAAAAGCAAGTAAGAAAGAAATGCGAGAGAGAGAGAGACGATAATCCACCTTGAGCTTCTCGACATCGCTGTCGAAATCGCGGGGATACACATCCAGATCCTCCCCGGGAGCAAATTGCCCGGGATTCACATAAATCGACACCACCACTTTGTCCGCTCGCAGCCTCGCCTCGGCCACCAGCGACAGATGACCTTGGTGTAGGAATCCCATCGTCGGCACCAGCGCGATCCGCTGGCCGCATTGGCGCTGGGACCTCGACCACTGCCGCATCGCCCCCTTCTCCCTCACGATCGCCATAGAACCCTAATTCTTAAACCCTGAGCTCAGGGTTTTAAATCAAGCATATTCAGACTATATCTTAAAGAATATTCAAATTTAGAGCATCTTTCCTTCTTTTATTCTCTTTGGCGCTTGGAATATTCTTCCAACCGGAGAGGATCTTTCACGAAAGATACTAGCGACCGTCATGTACGTGGCCGAGTTCTCGGGGTCCATCTCCAAGGCCTGCTGGAACACACGCTTCCCTCTCTCCACATCGTTGTGAACCTTGCAAGCTCCCAGCAGCGATCCCCATGCGATCTCATCCGGCATAAACGGCATAGCTCCCAGCAAATCCTCCGCCAGCTCCAGCTTCCCGGATCGACCATAGACATCCACCATGCACGAGTAGTGCTCCCTCCACGCACCCAGCCCAAAGTCAGACACCATTGACACGAAATGCCCCACGCCGATCTCCACGAGTCCAACATGGCTGCAAGCCACGAGAACACTCAAGAAGGTGATCTCGCTCGCCTTGATCCCGCAGAGTTTCATCGCGTCGAAGAGCTCCAGCGCGTAATCTCCATGCCCGTTGTGCGCGAGCACCGTGATCATCGCATTCCACGCCACAGTGTCCTGCTCCGGCATCGAGAGAAACATCGACTTGGCCTGCTCGATCCGCCCGTTTTGCGCAAGCCCCGCAAGCATCACCGTCCAGGACACGGAGTCATGCACAGGCATCGCGTTAAACGCCGCCAGCGCTTCATGCATATGCCCTGCCTGGGCATATGCGACCAGCATCGTATTCCACGACACAACATTCGGCTGCGGGATACAGTCAAACGTATGCTTTGCGTTCACTTGCAACCCTTTGTCCGCATACATGATCATCATTGTGTTCCACGACACAACATCTCTGTCGGGCATCTCCTGAAACACACTCCGCGCGGACTCCAGATGCCCGTTTTGGGCATAAGCCGACATCATCGCATTCCAGGCGACAAGATCCCTCTCCGGCATGCCGTCAAACACCGCTTTCGCGGTCTCCATGTCCCCCGATTCCCCATACGCCGACAGCATTGTCGCGCGCGACACGACATTCTGCTCCGGCATCTTGTCGTACAGCCCCTTGGCGGCGGTCAACTCCCCACGTTGACAATACGCGGCGGTCAGCGCGGTCCATGAGACGAGGTCCCGCTGTGGCATGAGCTCAAACATTCTTTTGGCGCTCTCCATATGCCCGTTCTGGGCATACGCGCCCATCATCGCGTTCCACGAGACCATGCTGTGCTCGGGCATCTTGTCAAACGCCGCCTTGGCGGCATCCAAATCCCCGTCCTGGGAGTAAGCTCCCACAATCGCGGTGTACGAGATCACGTCCTTGCCGGGCATGGTATCAAAGAGCTTCTTCGTTCCAGCGATGGTGGAGTTTTGGGCATAGCCCTGGAGGAGCGCGTTCCAAGAGACGACGTTCCACTCCGGCATTGAGTTAAAGACGCTCTTGGCAGCCGTGAGATCGCCGGTGTCGCCGAAAACCACGATCATCGTCGTCCAAGACACCACATTCCTCTGCGGCATCGCGTCGAAGGCCTTCTTCGCTCGATCGGCATGGCCGAGATCGGCGAAACCGGCCATGAGCGTGTTCCATGACACAACATCACGGCTGGGCACCGAATCAAAGAGGCTCTTGGCCTCGCTGATCTGCCCGTTTAGAGCGTAGGCCGTGATCATCCCATTCCACACCACGACGCTGTGCTCGGGCATCTTTCGAAACATCATCTCGGCCTCGCTGGGGTGGCCGTTCTCTGCGTAGCACATCAGGATCGTCGTCCAGGAGATGATATCCCTCTCGGGCATCCGATCAAACACCGACTTTGCCTCCTTTAAATGCCCACTCTGGGCATATGCCTGAAGAACAGTGTTCCACGAAATGCGATTCGGCCTCGGGATTTTCTCGAACATTTTCACAGCCTCTTCGGTTTCTCCAGCGTTTGCGTACGCCGCCACCAGCGCGTTCCACGACACGACACTTTTTTCTGGCATCTTGTCGAACAAATCTCGAGAGGCTCGCAAATGACCCTTCTGGGCAAGCAGCGTGATCATCATGTTGTGGGACATGACATCGGGTTGTGGCATGCTATTGAAGAGTTCTTGAGCTTCCGCGAGGTGGCCATCTTGCGCATAAGCTTTGATTATGGTTCCATACGTGACGGCGTCCGGGACGGGGACGCGATCGAAGAGTTCCTTGGCATCGGCAAGATGCCCGTTCTCGGCATAAGCTTGGATCATCGAATTCCAGGTAAAGGAATTGGGGGTCTCGATGGAATCGAAGAGGGCGCGCGCGGCGGCGGCTGCCTTGCACTTGCCGTAGGCCTGGAGGAGGAGATTGGCAAGGTAGATGTTGGATCTGTGGCGCTCGCTGGCGGCGATTATGGCGTGGAGGCGGCGCGCCTGCGCGAGATCCCTGGAACGCCCGCATTGCCGGATGGATTCCGCGAGCTCCTCGACGGAGCTGGGAGGAGAACGAAGCATCTCTAAGGCATATTCAACGGTATTGTCTTAGGACAGCGACACGTCAAGACATGTCTGACACGTGTCTACGCGGTGTGAGTCAGATTTTTTTATTTAAAGCACACGTAAGCATATATATAGTGTCACTGGCGTTTTAGGGCTAGCCATTAGGTTTTTAGAAAAGAAGGAAGATCCGGGAGCTAGCGTGAGCGCGATCTCTCCACAATGTCGTATGCTTACCTCTTCAAGTACATCATCATCGGCGATACCGGTATGGATCGAATTTCGTCCGCGCGCTCTTGTTCTCGCGGGATTTCGGTGTGGACTTCTCAAAATCCTCTTCTGCCAGGGGTCGGGAAGTCGTGCTTGCTGCTCCAATTCACGGACAAGCGATTCCAGCCGGTTCACGATCTCACAATTGGCGTGGAGTTTGGGGCGCGGATGATCACAATCGATAACAAGCCCATCAAGCTCCAAATCTGGGACACAGTAAGTGGCTTCTTGCTGAGAGGGTAGAATTTTGCTCTCCTACATTTCCCTTGCTATAGGCAGGCCAGGAGTCGTTTAGATCGATCACCAGGTCGTACTACCGTGGCGCTGCCGGTGCCTTGCTTGTGTACGACATTACCAGGTAAAAGTTCTTCCAAGTTTTAAGTTTGTTCTTGCTTATGAAGTGTGATACAGGCGAGAGACTTTCAACCATCTCGCCAGCTGGCTGGAGGACGCTCGGCAGCACGCAAACTCCAACATGACCATCATGCTGATTGGAAACAAGGCCGATCTGGCGCACAGACGAGCAGTGAGCACGGAAGAAGGGGAGCAGTTCGCAAAGGAGCACGGACTTATCTTCATGGAGACTTCGGCCAAGACTGCCCAGAACGTTGAAGAGGTACGTGGGGATTCCAGTCTTCCAAGACGGAGAAGTTCTTCTAGATCATAGAAGTTCTTCCAGATGATCTATAAAATCCAATCCACTGAAAATCTTCTCCTCCTTCCACTTTGCAGGCTTTCATCAACACAGCTTCCAAGATCCACCAGAAGATCGAAGAGGGCGTGTTTGACGTCTCAAACGAGGTGAATGACGCTCCTCCTTTGTTTCTCTCTCGTTTTCTCGGTCGCTCAGGGCGATTTGCTTGTTCCAGGCGTCGGGCATTAAGATTGGAGTTCTGCCAAATCATCCCGGCCACAGAGGAGATAGCTCGGGACCCCAGAGTGGAGGATGCTGCAGCTAAAAACGAAAGATCAAGCTATCAACCAAGAGAAAAAAAAGAAAAATTCTTTGGGATCAAACGACTCACAAGATAGATAGACTGTTCGTGAATAATTCTTGGCGCTATTCCTCCTGTACAAAGCTTTATCGTGATGGTCTTTCCTTTATCTTTCTTAACCATGTAAAGCAACCGATACTAGCATATTCTGTCACTGGAAGGAACATTTCGTCAGAGTGCCGTAGATGAATATTCTCCCGGCAACGGCTACAATTTACTTGTGGCCGTTCACAGTGGTCCGAGCTTATAATTCTATTGTGTGTGTTCTAGGGCTCCTCCTCGTTTCTCTCTCTCTCTCTCGCCATAGCCAGGGCTCCCATCCATCGATCGATCAGGCAAAGAAGATGCAGACGCGAAGCCGGCGAGCTCTTGGCGACATCGGCAATCTCGTGCGGCCTCCGCCGCAGCAAGGCGCGGAGCTGAGCAAGCCGCCGCTCACCAGGCGCCGGGCGCAAGCAATCAAGGCCGCTGGCGCCGGCGCCGCGGCAGTGAAGCCCCCGGTCCCGACGCTGCCTATCCGGAAGGAAAAGGAGCCAACGCTCACAGCGCAGCTCACTGCTCGTAGCGAGGTATGCTAATTTCCTTTGTCGCATCGTTTCCTTCCATGGATCTTCTTCGTTTCCTTTCTTCACTGGAATTTTTTCCTTCGTGGTTTTGCTGGATCAATGCTTGATCGATTCTTCGTTTTTCCCTGGCAGGCAGCATGCGGATTCGACGCGGAGATGGTGGACGCTACCTCTACGCCCGTCGCCGAGGAGCCTCTTCCAAACATCGACGAGCACGACGTGGGGAATCAATTGGCGGTCACGGACTACGTCGAGGATATCTACAGCTTCTATCGCAAGGCCGAGGTACAGAGCTGTGCGGCGCCCGAGTATATGAAGCAGCAACCGGAGATCAACGATAAGATGCGCGCGATACTCGTCGACTGGTTGATCGAGGTGTGTGAAAACTCTACTCTCTCATTTGTTCTTCTTCTTTGTGCTAGAGAGTTCTTATCTGTGATAGAGATCTCATGGCGTGATGGCTTTTCTTGTTCTTTCGCAGGTCCATCTCAAGTTTAAGCTCATGCCGGAAACACTCTACCTCACGATCAACATCATCGACCGCTACCTCTCGCTACAGCAAGTCTCGAGAAAGTATCTCCAGCTCGTCGGAGTGACTTCGATGCTTATCGCGGCCAAGTACGAGGAAGTTTGGGCCCCTGTGGTTGGCGACTTTGTATTTATTTCCGATGATGCCTACACCGATGATCAATTACTGTCCATGGTACGTACTCGAGAATTTGGCTTTAGATCTGCTTGCTGAACTCTTCTTTTCTTCTTTTCTTGTTCTTCATCTCAGGAAAAGAAGATGCTCAACACGCTGCGTTTCAACCTGACTGTTCCGACGCCTTACGTATTCGTGGTGCGTTTTCTCAAAGCAGCTGCCTCCGACCGACAGGTGAATTGGTCTTTCTTCCAGGCAAACTCAAAAGCTCTGGCTGACTTGCAATGAACAGATGAACTTGCTCGCCTTCTTCTTTGTGGAGCTCTGCCTTACGGAGTACGTGATGCTCAAGTACCCTCCATCGATGCTAGCTGCCGCTGCCGTGTACGCGGCTCAATGCTGCCTGGAGAAATCCCCGGCCTGGACCTCAGCGCTCCAGCGTCACTCGGGCTACACAGAGGATCAAATCAGGTACTTCTCTTCGCCCTGCCGGTGTCTCTCTCTTTTCGAGTTCTTAGAAGTGGTTCTCTGTTTGTTACTTACTACAGGGAATGCGCCACGCATATGGCACGCTTCCACCAGAAAGTCTCCAAGACTCCCGAGGAGCACTTGTCCGTGGTGGGAAGGAAGTACTTGCACACGAAGTTTGGGACGGTGGCCGCATTGACGCCCCCGAAATCGCTACTGCTGCTCCCGCAATGAGGCTAAGTTAAAGGAAGGAAATCTCCCCCAGTCACACAAGTGAGGTAACTCTCTCTGGATTTTTTTTGTTAGATCGAAAGACGTTTGAGAGCATTCCTTTTTAACGGTAATGTTTGCGACAGTGGTGACAGACAACGCTCGAAAAGTCGTCACACGCGAACGAGAGAGGAGGAAAGCTCAAACAAAGAACAAAAGAAAAGAAGAGGAGAAGCCGCGCTGCTTAAGCTACTGGCTTGCTGCTGTAAGTAGAGAGATAGATCATAGATGATAGAGTGAGAGAAGATCATTGAGAGAAATCTTTACAGTCCCTTGAGCGCTCGCAAAGAGAGAGAGCATGGAGGCCATCGACATTGATTGTCATTTTTAAAAGCTATTTAAATCTATCTTATTTGTTCGCAAAGAAAGAGAGAGATTGGCTATGGTGGTGGTGGTGGCGCCGCTGGTGGTGGAGGAGGAATAGTGGCGTTGGATGATGAAGGCACCGCCGCTGCTCCCGCCGCTCCTTTGCCGCTGCTACCGCCGCCTTTCTTCTTGGCAGGAGGAGCTTTGTTCTTGTTTCCAAAGATGTTCTTCTCACGCGCGGCGGCCTCGGCGTACTCTGTGAAGCTGTCCCTCCGCCGGTGGAACTCGTAGGATTTCTTGTCAAGCTGAAAGATAGACGATGGATCGCACTGGTAAGAAGAGCTTTCGATCGATCGGATCGGATGATTGATCCAATAGATCGATTGAAAACGAGAAACAAGCTAGGATAATTGGGGGAGAAGTAATCACCAGTTCTGGCTTGTACTGGAAATTCTCGTGCGTGAAGCTGATGGGTTGCCGCTTGGGGATCACGTAGCCGGCATTATGCTTCTTCCAGAGATTCTGCAAGCGCGAGGATCGATCGATCCGGGAAGGGGATTTCCCGGACGATCACTGCTGCAGGGTTTTACAGGGGTTTTGGCGAGAAATCTAGACTTACGATGGAGAGCTCCCTCACGAGCTTGCACGTTGCCTCGTTGCGCGTCGTCCACGCGTTGGCGATGACGGGCTTGCGCTCCTCGCCCTTCTTCTCATCCCCGGCCATCGCGCGGGATTTTAGAGCTGCGAGAAGGCCACATCACGCGCCAACGGTCGCCACGGCGGCAAAGAGACGTGCCACCTGTATGCCATAAAGCCGTACACGTGGTGGCCTAGCAGCCGTTGGATATCGATAGATTTGCTAGAACCCTAAGCCGCCGAGAGTGAGGAACCCTAGCGGCGTCGGAGCGAGTAGGCGAGGCGCGATCCCATGGTAAGCTCAGTGCGATCGAATCGGTCCTAGCTCGCATTTCTTACGCTGGCAATGCAGGCTCCAAAGCGGGCAGGAGGGAAATCGGCCGTGGCGGCGGCGCCTGAGAAGAAGAAGGTGAGTCGAGAGGATGGTGATTTTGCTGGAGCTGAGGGTTTTCTTCTCGGGCTGTATAGGCGGAGAAGGTTTCAAATCCGCTGTTCGACAGGAGACCGAAGCAATTTGGCATCGGTGGTGCTCTGCCGCCGAAGAAGGATCTCCACCGCTTCGTCAAATGGCCAAAGTATGTGAGGATCCAGAGGCAGAAGCGTGTCCTCAACCTCCGATTGAAGGTTCCGCCGACGCTCAACCAGTTCACGAAGACTCTTGACAAGCATATGGGTGAGATTTTACTGCAATCTTCCTCTTTTCTCTAGCTCTCGTGGATTGATCTTCGTTCTTCTGTTTTGGTCGTCAGCTACCTCACTGTTTAAGATGCTACTGAAGTACAGGCCCGAGGACAAGGCCGCCAAGAAGGAGAGGCTGCTCAAGAGAGCCGAGGCTGAGAAAGAGGGCAAGGCGATCGATTCGAAGAAGCCTTTGGTCGTCAAGTATGGACTGAATCACGTAACTTACCTCATCGAACAGGTAGGAGTTTTCTCGTTTTTTATCCTGGATCTGGTTCTTACTCCTCCCTTCACATCGTTCTTCGTTTTTTTCCTCCACAGGGTAAAGCGCAGCTGGTTGTGATCGCCCATGATGTGGAGCCGATCGAGCTCGTGCTTTGGCTGCCGGCCCTGTGCAGAAAGATGGGCGTTCCATACGCAATTGTCAAGGGCAAGGCTCGGCTCGGTGCGGTGAGTGATCTTCTCCCGGTTTCTAGCACTCCAGTTTCTCACACTCTTCCGTCTCAGATCGTTCACTCTAAGACTGCTACCTGCCTGTGCCTCACATCCGTCAAGAACGAGGACAAGCACGAGTTCAGCAAGATCGTCGAGAGCGTCAAGGTCTGGATCTTTTTCTCTCGTTTTGCTGTGATCCTCATCACCACTTCTTCGTGCTCCAAATAGGCCAACTTCAACGATCGCTTCGACGAGTTCCGGAAGCAGTGGGGCGGTGGCGTCATGGGTGTCAAGTCCCAGGCCAAGCTCAAAGCCAAGGAGAGGCTAATGGCCAAGGAAGCTGCCCAGAGAATGTCCTAGAGAAGAAAATATAACTTTGGCACGTACTTTTTTGTCCACCACCTTTTTTGAAGCTTAATCTAAAGCCCTAATATGGTCTACTATGATTTATGATTAGGGTTCTTCCAAGATTAGGGGTTTGGGAATCTACCACCTTTTCCAACGATGGGAGAACCCAGGAATGATGCAGACATCCAGGCTTGGATCGATGCCATGGATGCTGCACTGGAGAGGATTGGGGACAACAAAGGGCCAGTTTTTGTAACGGATGGAGTGCCCAGGGATAGATTTCTCAAGATGTACATGGAGACCCGGGCATACAAGCGAAACATGCTGTGGAAGTCTGGATCGCTGTGGATCCAGGCCGATAACACGGATCATCACGAACAGGTAAGGTGCTGGCTCTCCGCCAAGCTGCAACTGGAATTCCAGCGGCTGGGGATCGTGTTCCTCGGGAGGAATCGCCAGGTCTCGCTCTCTCAGGGGGGATTGATGGAGATTGGCGACGATCGCTGCCAGCAAGTGGATGTCTCCGTGCTGGAGAAAGATAGCAGCGAGCGAAAGGTGGTCTTGGCGGCGCAAGTTGTGTATAAGAACGAGGATCCACGGGCTGTTTTCGATGATATGGAGGTGCTGGTTAGCGAGCGAGGCGGCGCAAAGGTTGCTTTGGGGATTGTTGTGCACGAGCGAGATCCTTGCGTTGTGTACTACCGGGACAGGAAGTCGGCCGAGACGCAAGTGATCCAAGCGATCGATGGAACCGTCCTGAGATTCAAGTGGGAAGAACTTTTTGATAAAGTTCATGTCCAAGGAGAGACTGCTCTAGATCTGGGATTGCTCACGGATCACGCAACTTCCGTCTAGATTTCCAATCGAGTTTTAACTTTCTTTCTTTGTAGACGCCAACGATCGCTAGATCCATGATCTTCTATAGCAGTTTTCCCGCATAGAATACAATCACTCTTAACACTATCGCTAAAGAGAGAACGAAGAACTTACGAGATGTTTGATGCTGTATATATTTGGCGGTGGAGATTATTTCTTTCTTGGTACAGTGCTTGCTACCTAGTGCGGCCCCGTCTCCTCAAGAAGCTAGGAATCTCTAGCGTGGCTCCACCATTGTTTCCCAACGGCGATGCGATGGAAGGTTTGCTACGTGGGCTTGGGCGAGTGAGTTGCTGCCAAAGCTTGAGATATCAGGACACTAGAAAGCAGCAGATGCGAAGAACTTACTTGCACGTCTGGTTCTTCTTGCGACTTGAATCCAGTTGCAATAAGCGTGATGCTCACCTGGTCAAAGGATGGAATTATGATACCTATGTTGCACAAGCAAACTTACATGACCGTTGAAGGAATCGTCGACAACAGCACCGAATATAAGATTTGCATTCGGGTCTACAAGATCGTATATAACCTCTGCTGCCGCGTTCACCTGTTTATGAAATGGTTGCAACATAAAAAGAAGAAAACTAAAGCGTACCTCAAACAGGGTCATATCGGTTCCTCCAGTGATGTTCCATACAATGCCAGTGGCACGCTCAATTCCCACATCGAGTAACGGCGACTGGATGGCATTCAGAGCGGCGTCTCTGGCCCTGGACTTCCCTGTAAGTTTGTCTCTAGCTCTAAGAAAGAAAACAGCAATGCATCAAGACGCAGCACCTGTGGCAGTTCCAATTCCCATGAGCGACGACCCAGCATTGGCCATGATGGCACGAACATCCGCGAAATCAACATTCACTAGTCCAGGGATCTGAAAAACAAACCAAAAGTTAGCGAGAAACCTTTACTTTGGAAAAGTTCAATCACCGTTATAATGTCCGAAATACCACGGACACCTTGCCTCAGGATATCATCCGCAAGGTTGAAAGCCTCGGTCACAGGCGTGGACTGGGACACGGCAGTCAAGAGCTTGTCGTTTGGAATGGTGATCAGAGTGTCCACATTGTTCTTCAGCAGAGCCGTTGCCTCTTGTGCCTGTATCGATCTTCGACGGCCCTCAAACGAGAAAGGAGTGGTAACAATACCAACTGTGAGCACTCCCAGCTCCTTGGCCACTCCCGCAATCACTGGAGCCGCTCCACTGCCAGTACCACCACCCATCCCAGCCTGAAAAGCTTGACGAAATCAGCACAAGCAGACACAGGAAGAACACACAACTTACAGTGACGAACACCATGTCCGCTCCACGAACAGCTTCCTCGACTATGGCTTTGCTTTCTTCCGCGGCGCTCATGCCAATCTCCGGGTTTCCACCAGCACCCAATCCTCTCGTGAGCTTCTGTCCAATCTGTAGCCTGTTTTGCGCTGGAACTGGCGACATCGCCATCGCCTGTGCGTCCGTGTTGACGATCCAAAACTCCACGCCTTTCATCTCGCTCTGCACCATCCGGTTGACGGCATTGGATCCACCACCGCCCACTCCAATGACTTTGATCTTGGCCTCGTTAAATCTCTCCATCTCCAAGTTTCCTTCCCAGGAGACCGATGTAGAGGAATTCCCCGTGCCGCTGCTGCTGTTCGCGAGCTCGCGCGACGAAAACTCCGACCTGGAGGTCGCCAGAGCACCTCCATCACGATCCCACTCCAGATCCCAGCTCGGGGATGCTGCTGCCGACGAATACGAGCATTGGAATGCAGGTCTGCTCCTGCTGGCGATCAAAGACCTACGCCTGGCTCTAGTGCCGATCGCGAGCTGTGTGCCCTGCTCCCCCAATTTTCTTGGAGAAAGGAGGTCAGTGCCGGGCAGAGAAGACGAGGACGCTGAGATTACCGCAAGAGCCATGGCGATCCACCTCTCGAACAAGATTCTAGCCTACAGCAGCGTGATCCCTACCACAATTCGACGAAATGCGGGCGCGTGATCGCCTCCAGCTCCCCGCCATCGCCCCAGGAACCCTAAACCTCTTTTCAAGAGGAATCTTTAACTTATCCGCTGGGAATCTATCCTGCCATCGCGATCGTTCATTGATTTAAAAACTCCTGGCCGTCCATCATACAACGGCAACCTTCCCGCTGGAATTTTGAAAACCAGAGTATCGTTCAAAGAATATTCTCGCCCTAGCAGGAGGCGAGTGTTCTTCGCTCCCCATGAGCTCTTCATCTTGATCTCGAGGCGGGGAGCTGAAAGATTGGAGGAATGAAGGCGGCGATTCCATCGGCGAGGCTGCGCGAGCGGGATTCGTCAAATGTATGTGTCGATTTGAATTTCTCGTGTTCCCTGATCGTGGCGCTGTGCTGCAGAAGGAGAATGAGCCGGATGTGCCGGCTGGGAAGAAGCGTAAGCTCGGAATTTCAAGGGAGCCAGCAGCTAGAGCTCCGCGAGAAACCCTATCGGCGCTCAATGTACCCAGAGAGTCCATCGCTTCCATTCAGGCAAGCAGCGTTCCAGCAGTCCCATCGACTGTCAGCTCGGGCCAAGTGGAATGGGAAGGAGTGGCTCGTATGGCCAGTGACGAAGTGGAGGCTTTGCTTAATACGAAAATGGCTGGGAAATCTAAGTTCGACCTCAAGGTACGATTTTTTCTTCTCTTTTTCTTCGCTTTGTCACACCTATTTTCTGCCGTGTGATCGTCAGGGAAGGAACGAGAAAATGATGGAGTACATAAAAAATCTAAGGACGTGCATTCGCCAGTTTTTACAAGTAGAGAGTGTCTATGTAATGCAGCAGGAACAGGCCCAGAATCAGATCAAGGAAGAGAAGCAACGGCACGAAGAATCAGGTAAGTCTCTTATGTTGTGTTCCAGAGCAAGCAAGTTGAGATGTTTTCTTTTTAACAGAGCAAAAGATGTCCGCTAAGTATGGTGAATTGGAGGCTAAACTCGTAGAGGCTCGGCAACAATATGATAGACTTGTAGGACAGTTTCAGAAGCTAGAAACTGAGAAGCAGGTTGGAATCAATTCACGCTGATTTCTGGTTAATATCATGTTCAATAACTCAGGAACTTTCACTGGCTCACGCAAAGGATGTGGAGGCGCTGGAAGTAGCTTCAGAAGAACGCACGAAGTTGAATGAAGAGATTGACAAACTTCAAAAAGAAGTCGCCCAGTGTAATCATCAGGTTAGAGATATTTCTTACTCCTTGGTTGTTGCTAAATAGCAATCTCTGTTCTTTCAGCTGGGAACAGCGCAGGACGTGAACAGGCGATTGCAGGAGTATAACACGAGTTTGCAGCTTTATAACAGTAAACTACAAAGTGACGCGGCTTTGGCTACCGAAGAAAACGCTAAGACGCAGAAAGAGAAGGCAGCTATTGTGGAAACCTTGGGCGCCTTGCGTGGAAATTATGCTGGTTTACAAACTCAACTCGAAACAGCAAAGGTAGGTCCCTTAAGATTGTTAAAGATTTTGCGTTCAACGTGCTTGTTGCAGGATGCTTTGCAAGCTGAAACGGCCAAGATGAAGTCAATAAATGACGAACTTTCTCTTTTGCGGGCGGAGCTCCTTCGTGTTTCAGAAGAAAGGGACAACTATTACCATCAGGTTCAGGCATTGTCAGCTGAAAATGCAGCAATCAGGGAAAAAACTTCAACATCTGCCGCTGAGATTATGCGCTTCACGAGCAAGGCAGAAGCGTTGGAGGTATTTAAGACGTTCTTTTACGTACTTCATAGTAACCCTTTGTTCAGGAAAGCTACGACAAGCAAGCGGAGCAGATCAGACTCCTTCAAAAACAACTCAACCGGTCGAAGGAGATGCTAGAGGTAAAATGTATGCTGCTTCTATCTACTTAAGCTGATGGATCAGGTTGCGGAAAAATCATTGTCTTTCGAGAGGATTGGGAGCAGTGAATATATGTCAAAAATTGAAGCCCTTGAGAACAAACTTGCTGACGCAGAGCAGCAGCTCCGTGAGGGAGAGATGTTGCGGCGCAAGCTTCATAACACCATCCAGGTTCGCACTTTTCTGTTTTTATCACCTAAGGCAAACAGTGATGTTACAGGAGCTGAAGGGGAACATTCGTGTATTCTGTAGAGTAAGACCACTTTTACCCGATGAAAACGACGAATCATCGACTCTGATCAGCTATCCAGGCGAGGAGGGAATTGAGCTACACCAGGCTCAAGGTAAATTTATCTGTATACATGCAGCTGCTTATCTGTTTCTTTAGGCCAAACATACTCGTTTTCTTTTGACAAAACTTTTGGACCCGACGTTTCTCAGAGAGACGTGTTTACTGAGATTTCACAGCTCGTTCAAAGCGCCTTGGATGGCTATAAGGTAACACCTTTTCTTTTGTTGGCATTCTCTGTTTACCTTGTCCTTGTAGGTTTGCATATTTGCGTATGGCCAAACTGGATCGGGCAAGACACACACTATGATTGGACAGCCAGATGACATGGACCAGAAGGGTGTGATTCCCAGGTCTTTAGAGCAGATCTTTCAGTGCAGCCAAGCACTTCGTTCGCAAGGATGGAGCTTCAAAATGCAGGTCAGCACAAAGTTTGTTTCTTTTCGTAGTGGGGCGATTTATTCGTTCTTTTTCCAGGCTTCACTTCTTGAGATTTATAATGAAACTATAAGAGATCTTCTTGCGCCGTCAAAAAGCGTGGGTGGGGACACGACCCCAGCAAAGCAGCACGCAATAAAGCACGAGCCAACTGGGAATACCGTTGTGACCGAGCTTACTGTCGTGGAAGTTAACAGCTGGGAAGAAGTGTCATCCCTTTTGAGGCAAGCTGCACAAAGCAGGTAAAAGAAATTTGGTTTGGCAATCTCTCGGTAGCAGACTGACCGAGCTGTATCATTGGCAGGACTGTAGGGAAAACAGCTATGAACGACAGGTCCTCTCGAAGCCATTGTGTATTCACGCTGCGGATCATAGGATCGAATGAGGTAGTCATTGTTTTCACTGATACGAAGAATGATTTCTTTCTTTGTGTGTGTGTGTAGAATACTGAGCAACAGGTACAAGGAGTTCTCAACCTGATCGACTTGGCTGGAAGCGAGCGCCTCTCGAAAAGCGGCTCCACCGGCGAACGCCTGAAGGAAACACAGGTACTAATCCAAGTTTGCGAGTATTACTCTAACAAGAGCGAATCACTGTCGCGCAGGCCATAAACAAGAGCTTGTCTAGCCTCGGAGACGTGATCCTTGCGATTGCAAACAAAGACCCTCACATCCCATATAGAAACTCAAAGCTGACTTATCTTCTCCAGGTAAACTCTTACATACATTTGTGCAAGTGCTTACTGTGTGATCAAAACGCAGCCTTGCCTTGGTGGCGACTCGAAGACGCTGATGTTCGTGAATATCTCCCCCGACTCCAAATCACTCCATGAGTCGCTGTGCTCGCTGCGGTTTGCAGCCAAGGTGAATGCATGCGAGATTGGAGTTCCCAGGAGGTACACGAGCAGCAGGCCTCAAATTAGCTGTTGAAGCTTTTGGTATTTTGTTGTCAAAGTTTTGCATTGACAAGAAGAAAAATTTATGTGGAACCAAACAAGAATATATATGGAAACCTTTGCCACCTTTTACTTGGATTTTTTCAGATGGAGTACAAGCCGGCATGAAAGACTGATTGTAGAACTAACTAACGAAGATCAAGCTGTCAAGTTATTCGCTGTTAAGTTGGAACGGGAATATGCTTGGTGGATGAGGAGTCTCTTCCCCAATATGTTACAACATATTGTCCATGAAGATGGAGAGACGCTTCCCAAGCTCACCAGAAAGGTTATGGAAATTTATCCTTTGCAAATTCAAGCCAAGAAGCAGCTTGACTTCTCCTGCACGTTTTGCAAAAGATGATGATGAAGAAGACAATACAATTATATTTGAAAGCGAAGAAGTCTGAGTGTTTTTCTATATTCGATATATAATAAAAACCGATTTTGACTCATATCAGTTGTGTTAGTTGCGAGAACAACACAAGCTGATGTAGTATGATTAAGTACCATCATACTACAGCAGATTGACTTGTAGCAACTAATACCGTTGCTCGCTTGCCCAGCATCAAGGCTCAGGCAGAGACTAGGGGGCAGCCCCTTTACCGAGATCCTCCCAGCAGGTCAACCAGGCATGCCAAATGGTATCCCCCAGCCTCCATCCCAAAGTCCTGGACCACTGCTCTTCCCAGCATCCCGGCATGGCTGCACGCCTTCTTCTTATAAAACATCATTGGGATGTTGATCAATCCCTTCTTCTTTGTTTTCTTGGATGGAGCACTGATGAGTTGAGGCAGCAACATGGAGGTGGTGATCGTCATAGATCTGCTCCAAGGGAAGTGCAGGAATATCCATTGAATATCTAGTGTACACCTAAACTAGGTTCCGAATAGGCACTGTTGATCAATAGCACATCCAAACCATCTAGATATACCTGTTGTGTAGGAAGGCACATGCAAGCAAGGAGGCAATGGTGTGTGTGGCAGCCGTGTGGTGGCAGGCAATGAGGCAATGAGTTCTCTAGTGCCAGGCAAGGCAATAGTTTCAAGGCTAGGCAAAATGACCAAATAAGTGATTGCTGGTAACAATTCAAATGTGCTCACTTAACTTGATAATAGTCTTTCTTTGTCCCAAGCATACAGCGATAGTGCCTTTGCTTACAAGTTAGGCGTTTTGGGGTGGGAGAGGTTGTATCAAGAATTTCAGTACGTAGAAAAAATCTACACCTTCACCCTAGCTGCTAGTCCACTCTCTTCTAGGTAGCATAGATTTTCTTCAGGTACTAAAATTCTCGAGCCTCTCCTGCCCCAAGACACCCACTTTGTAGACAAAAACACCATTGCTATATGCTTGGGACAAAGAAGAACCATCATCAAGTCGAATGTGGATTGTTGCCGACAATCGCCTACTCAATCTTTTTGCCCAACCCTAGAACCATTGCCTTGTTGTTCTTCTTGCCTAATGCCAAAGGGCTTATCGCCTCCTTACCTACTGCTACACGCCACCATCACCTCCTTGCCTTCACACGCCTTGCTCGATGAACCTCTCCCACCTCTCTTCATCATACCCTATCTAGCCCTAGTTCTTCAGCCGAAGAAGCAAGAGCCTTGGTATATCTAGACGGCTGGGATGTGCTGTTGATCAACGGTGCTGATTCGATTGGTTTAGGTGTACACTGGATATTTGACAGATATTTCTGCACTCCCCTTGGAGCACATCTGTGACGATTGCCACCTCCATGCTGCTGCCTCGACCTTCTTTCTCATCAGTGCTCCATCCAAGAAAACAAAGAAGAAGGGATTGATCGACGCCATGCTCGGATGCTGGGAAGAGCAGTGGTCCAGGATTTTGGGATGGAGGCTGGGGGATACCATTTGGCGTGCCTGGTTGACCTGCTGGGAGGATCTCGGTAAAGGGGCTGCCCCCCTCGTCTCTGCGTGAGCCTTGATGCTGGGCACACGAGCAACGGTATCAGTTGCTACAAGTCAATCTGGTGTAGTATGATGGTACTTGATCATACTACATCAGGTTGTGTTGTAGCAACTGATACAAGTTCTCGCAACTGACACAACTGATACGAGTCAAAATCCGTTTTCATTATATATCGAATATAGAAAAACGCTCACACTTCTTCGCTTTCAAATATAATTGTATTGTCTTCTTCATCATCATCTTTTGCAAAACGTGCAGGAGAAGTCAAGCTGCTTCCTGGCTTGAATTTGCAAAGGATAGATTTCCATCCTTTCTAGTGAGCTTGGTAAACATCTCTCCATCTTCATCTTCAAATGCTTGGACAATATGTTGTAACTATTGGGGAAGAGACTCCTACCAGGTGAACAAAGTGGTGATTAGTCTTGTTGCGGGGGGGGCAAGAGTGTGAGCTACTGGATCGCATGAGGAGTGTGTATGGGGTTGACATAGATTTGCTGCCTTCTCAGCCCAAGAGATACCTGTATTATGATGTAGTCTCGGATGTAGTAATGTGACCGTGATAGTTCCTAGCCAAAAGGCAAGCCTTTGTAATCTTGTTTTGGAGAAGGGTCCAGTGTTTTGTGTGCAATGATAGCAACTGAGGTTGGCACTGGCAAATCTTGCAACACTTAAACTCAGGAATTATTCCATGAATTTGCAAAGCTGGTGGGATGTTAATGAAGAGCTTAAACTGGTGCAAACTTGGTGATGTTGAAAGAATTGTCTACAGCTTGAGCAATTGAGTTTAGTTGCGGGGTTCAGGTCCGCTGCTTAGCCCGAGCAACCAGCGATTTTCCAAGATCACCACCTCACCATTGCTGCTATCCACTACGTTGGCAAATTTCGAGAGGGCCCTTCTCCAGGTAAAGAGATTTAATGGTCTATCATGTTGTTTCATCCATACAGCCCGGGACTTCTTTCAGTTGAGAGCTGATAATCTCGTCCATTATATCCTCGAGGCTCTAGGAGACTGCGTTCCAAAGGTGTGAGATACGTATGTTTCTAGCGTTGACAGGGTGATTGATGTCACAGGATGGACGGTGAAGTTCAGGAAAAGAAACGAGCTTTGAGTTGACCAATTGACTTGGAAGGAGTTCGAGGTGTTCCAGCACACCAAGATCAACAGCATGATGGTGGTGGTTCACAACGGATGGGTCTACACCGCTGGGGCTGCTAAGACCAGGGTCGTCATGTCCAGAAGCTTCAAGCCCGTTCAGACACACATGAAAATCTCAATGCTACGTCACACAGTTCCTGAAGCGAAGAACACATCCGGTACCATTTCCACAAGGTACTAGTGTTTACTTCAAATTAACGAAATGCCAGATTCACTAACTATTGTATGAATTCCAGGAACGCATACAGGAGGATGATACGTATGTAGCGCGGTTCAGACCATATATGGACCATCCTCCACTGGAATGACGCTTTTATACCAGTGTTACAAACCCGGATAGATGAAGTGGTTTGTGTTTTACCAATGTAATTCTTTTGGTTTCTATCAGGATCTGGTGGAGGCTTGGAAGGCGATACATGGACCACAGCAAAATCATCGTCGTAATCACTCTCTGGAAGAATGCGCATTTACTCAAGGCTGCCTGAGGTGTTGAAAACAAACTTGACATCAGTAATGTTATACAACATTAATGTGAAAACCTTTGCATACAAGAGGTTGATGACTGCGGATATTAGTAAGCAAATTACTTATCAGATTCTTTAATTCTTACGTTCTTTGACGACAGATTCATTCGGCGAAGGGACTGAACCTCAGATCATCAATGATTTCCTGCGCTTCTTGTTACCGTGGGAGTTCTTTCAGCAAACACTTTGGCAACGTGCGTGTGCATTCTGTGTGATCAGTGAATGGCAAGCAAACTCCTGAACCCCAAACGTCTTCAAACTATTACTCGTTTGGGATTATATAGACGCCCTGTGGAGAGGATGCGCTCCAGGTTTCAACATCTCCCATCTCTGCATGATTAGGCTTTGTAAAGTTACAAGAAAGATAGTCTATGTATGCCAGTAATTTAAATCAAGTGCCTGTGAACTATGATTTACCACCGATTGCATGGCTCCATGCATCCTAGATCTTACATAAGACCTCTTCAAGCTCCAAGCACGATTACAATTAACTCATTGATCATGAAGGCTGATTTGGTGTTTCTCGTTTTGGTATTTGCCACTTTGCAGATTGTGTCGTCTACTTCGGGTACATTGCCTTTGGATGCAGATGATATTGATGTTGAGGTCTTTCCAAAGAGACTATTGACTTTGAAGGCGTGGTGCCGTATCGGCAGCAGGAGCCAATCATCCCCTTGTGGCGAAGAAGTGTTTGAATTGAACCTTCGGAACAAATATTATTTACAAACTGACTTAAGAAATGGATGCTTCAAAGCTTCATCAGGAGTTATTCGCTTACTGGGATCCAGCGTAAGCATCCTCTCTAACAAGTTCTTGAATCTCGCCATCAGCGCTCCATCTTCCCCTGTAAGATCTGAAATACAACTTGTCTTAACATTGAAGGACGCCATACTTCTCAGAGTTTCCAGCTTTGTCACGGGATCTAGCTGCCGGAACTCAAAGTTCTCGTTGAAATGCATGCCCGTAAACGCTCCTTTCTTCAACATCGCCTTTGGAAACGCCCCCTTGAGCTCCATTTGCTGCTTGAGAAGCCCGTTGTTAGTAGCAACAGGAAAGAGGAACTTGCCCGTGTAGAGCTCATACAAGCAGCAGCCGGCAGACCACATATCGATTGCGTGGCTGTAGGGAGCCACCCCGAGGATGATCTCCGGTGCCCGGTAGCTCGGACTCACCAGGTATGGGGTCTCCGCGGACGGGGTTTGATCCCTCGCAAACATGGCCACCCCAAAGTCGCACAGCTTGATCGATCTCCGGGACTTTGTGACCATGATGTTGTCAGGCTTGATGTCGCAGTGCAAGATGCCGCAATGGGCCAAGTGCTGGAGGGCAACCATGAGCTGGTGAGCATAGACACAGATGGTTTTGAGATTGATACCTCTGTTTCGCCCGTACTTGTTTGTGATCTGCCGGAGGTTTAGATCCAGGGACTCCATCACCAGGCACAGATGCTCGCGATACACAAAGCTGTCGAGGAGCTTCACGCAGTGGTTGTCTTTGTTCGTGGCCTCCGGCTCCGCCACCTTTTTGAGGATCTGGAGCTCCGACTTTGCAGACCGGAGCATGAGATCGTTCTTCCGGGGGATCTTGATGGCAACCTCCTGCTCGCACTCTGGGAAAAGGGACTTGGCCAGGAAAACCGTGGAGAACATCCCGCTTCCTATGGATGCCTTCACCTGGTATTTGGAGTTGATTGTCTCGCCAATTCGGGCCTTGTAGTAGAACTCGTGATCGTGCCAATTGTCGGGGTTGTCGTTCCTTAGCCCTTGGACGGAAGCCTCCGGATTTGTAATTTCTGCGAGTGGCGTCTCCGAGAACATGTCTTGAGCTGGAGGGCTCGATGATTTGTCGCAAGAATTACTGGCGATCTTGGCAGTGTCATGAGGAACTGGGTTGCCGAGAGAAACACTCTGCTGTTCTATTATTTGTCCTTCTTCTAGTGCATGCTTCTCCAGGATTGCCTGTCTCCTCTTCCTGCTTTCCTCTCTAACTCTTTCCACCATTGCATCTTCGTCCTCTACTACACTTATCTGGCAGTCTTCGCTCCTTCTTTTCCGACCCATGTCCAAAGGGTTTTGCCAACCCTATTTGTAAAGGACAAATTTATACTTGGGCAATGATCCTCCGACTTTGAAATTTAAGCGGGAAAATTTGTGGCCATGTCTAGGGCTATGGCGAGCGCATATCGATTGTGCGCCCCCAAATTCTCGAGCTATGGGTATGATCGTGCTTCTTCGCTGTAGAGCTGGATTGCCACGGATCTTGTGTCTTTCTAGGAGGCGCCATAATATCTTTCTCGTGCTTGGTAGATTGGGGGGGATTCCGTGCTGTCCCGGATCTGGAACAAGGAGCTTGAGGTAAACGTCATCTCGCGGTATCGCTACTGGGGTGAAAGAAATCTCTCGCTCTTGTGTCAGGCTGGGCATACTGCTCGAGGTGTTCTTGCTTTAAACTTATTTTCGTTTTTATGAGCCTCTTACATATATCCTGGGAAGTCCAGGGCGAAAGCTATACCGATTCGAGGTACGAGTTTATTTTTCAGAAGAAAGAATTTCCTCCCAGAGTTTTTAACGTCTTGGGACTCGCCGTCTCCAAAGCGGCTAAATCCTCGCGAGTTCTCTTGTCGCCCAGACAGGATCTTTGCTTTGAAAGTCTGCAAAATAATATGGTGAGTGTTTTTACACACTGTTTGTGGTATGGTGAGAACTTACCTCGAGGACTCCTTGATGCAGGCGTTGAGTTCTTGGTTCTCCGGGACGATTTCGAAGTTCTCACTCTCTTGATCGTACGTGACACTTCGAAATGAATCAGCAGTCAAGGAGTAGAAAAAAAGGACCCCGATTCCTGCTCGAATCCCAATGTGACTGCTGCTCAGGTACTTCTCCATGTCTGGTGGCATTTGGCAAAGCCGGATCCACTTAGACTTCTCCAGGTCGAGCGTGTATATGACGACGTGGGTTTCTGGTCCTGGCTTGCCTTTCTCGAGAACGAACTCATCCTCGCATGTTGTGGCAGCCACGAGAGAGCCGGATGAGGAGGAAGCGATGAGCGGACCATGCGAGACGAAGACATGCTCGGAGAAGGCATCGGTGTTGATCTGCTTGGTGCTCCACTCCAAGGTGTTGGCGTCCAAGGCATAGATGGTCTCGCCAGCGTCTTCAAAGCAAGAGAAATAGAAAGCGCTGGGGCCGATCGCGCTGGTGAAGACCTCCGGATCGTCCAGCACAGGACCGCCGCCTGGTGTGTTTCCGTCGCCGATTGCAGTCCACGAAGGCCGATCGCAGCCATTGCGGATCGCCAGAATGCCGCTCAGCCTCCTTCCCGCCTTGTCATCGCTCGTGTCCATCCATTCTTCCGACTCCTGCGAGGCAGCAACCGCGACGAACACTCCGGGTCCCGGATCCTTGTCACGGTAGGAGATGCTGTTCGGGATAGCCGGGAAGAGTCCGGCCAGGCAGCCGGAGGTCGGAGAGTAGAGCACTGCGAACCGATTTGGGCGGAGCCACAAGAAGTTGTCCTGGTCCTTGAGACAGCACCCGGGAAGAGCGATGGAGACAGTGGCCGCTTCCGACGCGTCCGGTCCTTCTTTTTCTTCGTCTCCGGCGACCATTTCCAGCTTGTACCAGGAACGCAGTACCGGATCAAACGCGAAGACACACTGGAAGCTTGGGCCGTGCACTTGCATCCAGGTTTCACAGGGATTCTTGGGCTTGAAGCTCGAGCTGCGGAGGAGCGACCGGATTCGCCTGGATACTCCGGAGAGTTTCGCCTGTGTCCCAAAGGAAGCGGACGAGAAAATCTTGCGGAGAATGTCTCGAGGTAACTCTTCCATTAAAGGTCGTGCCCTTTTTTTTAACTTTCACTTGACATTTAAACGTTAAGCTCCGGAGGCGATGACGCTGACCATGAAATGCTGTGCGAGCCAAGCACCTTAGCAGCTTACTCAAGCAGTTATCCAGATGCTTCGTTCGACGATCTCGACGCTGTGACAACGAAAGCAACTTGGTCGATGCAAAACGAACACTCGACACTATACTATTAAGAAGACTTTCCTTGCCAGTCTGCTCGCGGCTCTGCCCAGGTACTTTTCTCATCGACAACTCTCTGTCGCTTATAATGCTTCAGTCTATTTCCAGAAGCTGGGCTCACCTTGAGAAGCTGCGCTCTCGTAGAATCTCTGGCGGTCCAAGGAGGTTCTATTGACTCTGTTCTGGCTAATATCATGTTCTATAACTCGGGAACTTTTCACTCGCTCACGCAAAGGATGTGGAGGTGCTGAAAGTAGCACGCACGAAGGTTTGACCAACTTCAGAAAGAAATCGCCAGTGTAATCACCAGGTGAGAGATATTCCTTTTTCCTTGGTTGTTTGCTGAATAACGGAACAAGGCAGGATATAAACAGGCGATTGCAGTATAACACGAGTTTGTCAGCTTTATAACAGTAAACTACAAAGTGACGCGGCTTTGGCTGCCGAAGAAAGGAAGACGCAGAAAGGGAAGGTGCTTGCGTGAAAATTATGCAGTTTGTTAAAGATTTATGTTCGACGTGCTTGTTGCAGGATGCTTTGCAAGCTGAAGATGAAGTCAATAAATGACGAACTTTCTCTTTTGCGGGCGGAGCTCCTTCGCGTCTCAGAAGAAAAGGACAACTATTACAATCAGGTTCAGGCATTGTCAGCTGAAAATGCAGCAATCAGGAAAAAACACTTCAACATCTGCCGCTGAAATTATGCGTTTCACGAGCAAGGTAGAAGCGTGGAGGTATTTAAGATTCTTTTACGTACTTAATAGTAGCCCTGTGTGCAGGAAAGCTACGAAAATTAAGCGGAGCAGATCAGACTCCTCCAAAAACAACTCAATCGGTCGAAGCAATATGCTGTTTCTATTTACTTAAGCTGATGGATCAGGTCGCGGAAAAATCATTGTCTTTCGAGCAGTGAATATATGTAAGCAAACTTGCTGACGCGGAGCAGCAGATCTGGGAGGGAGAGATGTTACGCCGCAAGCTCCAAAACACCATTCAGGTTGGTACTTTTCTGTGTTGATCTTCTAAGGCACACAGTGGTATTTCAAGAGCTGAAAGGGAACATTCGTGTATTCTGTAGAGTGAGACCACTTTTACCCGATGAAAACGACGAAACATCGACGCTGATTCGCTAGGGAATTGTTCAAGGTAAATCTATTTGTCTGTATTACATGCAGCTGCACTTGTCTCTTTAGGCCAAACATACGCGTTTTCTTTCGAAAAAGTTTTTGGACCCGACGTATGTCAGAGAGACGTGTTTACTGAGATTTCACAGCTCGTTCAACAAAGCGCCTTGGATGGCTATAATAAGGTAACATCATTTGTTGGCATTCTCTGTTTACCTGTTCCTTGCAGGTTTGCATATTTGCGTATGGCCAAATTGTATCCGGCAAGGCACACACTAAGGCTTTTCACTGTATATGAAACCATAAGAGATCTTTCGCCCCAGCAAAGCAGCACGCGACCAAGCACGAAGGAATACCGTTGTGTTTGAGCTTACTGTCGTCTGCAGGTAAAGTAATATCCTTTGGCAATCTCTAGACGTTGGCAGGAAAAGAGCTATGCTTCTCGAAGCCATTCATAGGAAAGAATGAGGTATTCATTGATACGAAGGATTTGTGTGTGTAGAATGCTGAGCAACAGGTACAGGGAGTTCTCAACCTGATCGACTTGTGTTATGTTTGGTTCCATGCAGCGCGTGAGCTATTTGAATTGCGAGCTCACAATCTTGTCCGTTACGTCGTCGATGCTCTAGGGACCAACATTGGGCAGGAGGATATCAAGCCCGCTCTAGAGGCTGCGTTCCAAAGGTGGCAAAATCTTGAGATACGTATATGCTTTTGGTTGAATTGAATATATCACAGGATGGACGATGAAGTTCAGAAAGAGATGCGAGCTTTGCGTGAGTCAATTGAGGTGTTCCAGCACACCAAGATCACTAGCATGGTGGTGTTGGTTCATAATGGATGGGTCTTATACGCCGCTGGGGCTGCCAATGCCAGAGTCGTCATGTCCAGAAGCTTCAAGCCCGATGATAATGCGCCAAGTGCGGACAATCGCAATGCTAAGTTACACAGTTCCTGAAGGCGAAGAACACATCTTGTACCATTTCCACAAGGTACTAGTGGTTACTTTAAATGCTAGATTCACTAACTTTTGTATGAATTCCAGGAACGCATACAGGAGGACGAGCGCTCGCTTCGGATCATATATGGACCCTTCTTACGCTTTTATACCAGTGTTACAAAACCGGATAAATGAAGTGGTTTGCGTTTTAGCACTGTACTGCCATGTAATTTCTTTTGCTTTGTGGAGGCTTGCAAATCTATAGCGGGGCGATACATGGACCACAGCAAAATCAGCATCGTAATCACTCTCCAGAAAATGGACATTTACCCAAGGATGAGGGAGGTGTTGAAAGCAAACTTGATATCAGTAAGCTATCTGATTTTGATGTCTATTTTGCATGTTTGGATATTAGTAAGCAAATTACTAATCAGATTTCTTTAATTCTTGTAACCGCGGGGTAAGCTTCTTATTAGTAAACATTTTCTCAGCGTGCGTGTGCATTCTGTGTGATCAGTGAATGCCAAGCAAACTCCTGAACCCCAAACGTCTTCAAACTATTGACGCCCCGTGTGCGCTCCAGGTTTCAACATTTAGGCTTTGTAAAGTTACAAGAAAGATAGTACCTTAAAATAAGTGAACTATGATTTACCACTGACTGCAGGGTTGCATCCATCCTAGATCTTATATAAGACCTCTCCAAGCTCCAAGAACGATTAAAACTAAGCCATTGATCATGAAGGCTGTCTTGGTGTTTCTCGTTTTTGTATTTGCCACTTTTCAGATTGTGTTGTCTACTTCAGGTACAATTGTCTATGGATATTGATGTTGAAGTCTTTCCAAAGATGGATGATGATTATGAGAATGAGCAATGGGGCAAGCATGGGAAGAACACTAATAATAATAACAACATCAAGATCAAGATCAATTTCTGCAAGAACCAAGTATATAGATCATAAAGACAAAATGTACTAATTGCCTGAAACATGAATATTAATTGTTTCTTGAGAATCTGACCATTGACTTTGAAGGCGTGGTGCTGTATCTTGGTGGCCTTCGAAGGCGTGGTGCCAATCATTCCCTTGTGGTGAAGAAGTGTTTGGATTGATCATCACATCCTTTGGAACAAATATTATTTACAAACTGACTTAAGAAATGGATGCTTCAAAGCTTCATCAGGAGTTATTCGCTTACTGGGATCTAGAGTAAGCATCCTCTCTAACAAGTTCTTGAATCTCGCCATCAGCGCTCCATCTTCCCCTGTAAGATCTGAAATACAACTTGTCTTAACATTGAAGGACGCCATACTTCTCAGAGTTTCCAGCTTTGTCACGGGATCTAGCTGCCGGAACTCAAAGTTCTCGTTGAAATGCATGCCCGTAAACGCTCCTTTCTTCAACATCGCCTTTGGAAACGCCCCCTTGAGCTCCATTTGCTGCTTGAGAAGCCCGTTGTTAGTAGCAACAGGAAAGAGGAACTTGCCCGTGTAGAGCTCATACAAGCAGCAGCCGGCAGACCACATATCGATTGGGTGGCTGTAGGGAGCCACCCCGAGGATGATCTCCGGTGCCCGGTAGCTCGGACTCACCAGGTATGGGGTCTCCGCGGACGGGGTTTGATCCCTCGCAAACATGGCCACCCCAAAGTCGCACAGCTTGATCGATCTCCGGGACTTTGTGACCATGATGTTGTCAGGCTTGATGTCGCAGTGCAAGATACCGCAATGGGCCAAGTGCTGGAGGGCAACCATGAGCTGGTGAGCATAGACACAGATGGTTTTGAGATTGATACCTCTGTTTCGTCCGTACTTGTTTGTGATCTGCCGGAGGTTTAGATCCAGGAACTCCATCACCAGGCACAGATGCTCGCGATACACAAAGCTGTCGAGGAGCTTCACGCAGTGGTTGTCTTTGTTCGTGGCCTCCGGCTCCGCCACCTTTTTGAGGATCTGGAGCTCCGACTTTGCAGACCGGAGCATGAGATCGTTCTTCCGGGGGATCTTGATGGCAACCTCCTGCTGGCACTCTGGCAAAAGGGACTTAGCCAGGAAAACCGTGGAGAACATCCCGCTTCCTATGGATGCCTTCACCTGGTATTTGGAGTTGATTGTCTCGCCAACCCGGGCCTTGTAGTAGAACTCTTGATCGTGCCAATTGTCGGGGTTGTCGTTCCTTACCCCTTGTCCAGAAGCCTCCGGATTTATGATTTCTGCGAGTGGCGTCTCCGTAAACATGTCTTGAGCTGGAGGACTCGATGATTTGTCGCAAGAATTACTGGCGATCTTGGCAGTGTCATGAGGAACAGGGTTGCCGAGAGAAACACTCTCCTGTTCTACTATTTGTCCTTCTTCTAGTGCATGCTTCTCCAGGATTGCCTGTCTCCTCTTCCTGCTTTCCTCTCTAACTCTTTCCACCATTGCATCTTCGTCCTCTTCTACTCTTATCTGGTAGTTTTCGCTCCTCTTTCTTCGGCCCATGTCCAAAACCTAGGGCTTTGCTTCCTTTTATTTTCCTTTTTGTTAAGGACAAGTTTATTCTTTGACATTATATACTACAATGAGCAAGATATCCACCTGATTGGGGAGCTCCTAGGTCACACTATTGCAGCTAAATCTGAAGCGTTCGCTCCAGGAAGTTTTGATTGTGTGCAACAGAGTATATGTCAGTTTTCTCAAGAAACTGATAGAATTCATGTGTGCGAAACACGTGAATATTCCTGCCTGTTATATTTCTCCTTTGAAGTGAGCGAACACTTAAAGATTTGTGTGCAAACAAAGAAACGAAGTAGCTCATAGTCTCTCACCTGGGGTGGATATCCTGTACACTGCCGAAACCTGACAGGACTTCTCATACGTTCTGGGGCGAAACACAGTGTCAACCGGAGCCACTCGTTCATTGATATCCTTTTATTTTTGACAAATTCTCAGGAGAGTAACTTTGTCACGAGTTTCTTGAGGCCAATCTTAGAGGTATATTTCATGTGATCGTTGTCACAGACACGAGATCATCGAAACGGAACAGCCAATTATTATTGGCTCACATTCCTGGCGCGAGAGGTTGGGGAACCACGAATAATTTTAAAAATCTTTTAAAGGTCAAGCCCTAGAAAAGCCCTAAGAATGTACTTTAGGGTTCTTCGTGGCGTGGGCTCGCTCCAGATGATTCGTTTGTGAGGTATTGGCCTAGATCTTCGCTCTCCAGACGCTAGATCTCGGGGGATCTGGCCATGGCGGCGGCGGACGCTGTCACTGCAGCTGAAGAGCAGGACAAATGGCTCGCGGATGCCATGGCTCTGGTCCAGCACAATGCCTTCTTCATGCATCGGGCGCTGGTAAGCTTGTAGCATGCATGGAGGATCAAAAGGACATTGATCCATTGGTTTTTCTTCTTCCTCACTGGTTGCATTTTCGCTCTTCACGCAGGATAACAACAACTTGAGAGATGCTTTGAAGTACTCTGCGCAAATGCTATCGGAGCTTCGCACCTCCAAATTGTCTCCACAGAAGTACTACGAGCTGTGTAAGTGTTTTCCTGTCTCTTTGTTTTTCTTTTTTCCTTGCTTGGCTCGACTCACTATACTCACAAATCGAATGCTTCAGATATGAAGAGTTTTGACGAGCTTCGGAAGCTCGAGTTCTTCTTCAAGGACGAGACGAAAAGAGGCCGCACGAATGCCGATCTCTACGAGCTTGTTCAGCACGCTGGCAACATCTTACCGAGGCTGTATGCTCTTTTTCTTTTTCTACTCTTTCTTTCATTCTCCTGAGACGTCGTTCGTTTCTTTCAGGTACCTGCTTATTACAGTAGGCTCGGTGTACATAAATTCCAAGGAAGCTCCCGCAAAGGACGTCCTGAAGGATTTGGTTGAAATGAGCCGTGGTGTCCAGCATCCCATTCGTGGTTTGTTCCTGAGAAGCTACTTGGCTCAAGTCAGTCGCGACAAGCTACCAGACGTTGGCTCCGAATACGAAGGGTATGTTTTTAAGTTTGCCGTTGCTAAGCTCACAACGCAATGCAGGGAAGGAGGTAGTGTCAATGATGCCGTGGAGTTTGTGCTTCAGAATTTCACGGAAATGAATAAGCTCTGGGTCCGGATGCAACACCAGGTCAGTACACACCATCTCGTGTCAAGAATGTGAGAGAGCATGCACCTTAGCTCATGAAGTGTTCCTGAACGGAGGAAGGCTTGAGAGTCCTGAACGTAGTCTTGCGTATGCAGGCTTTTGTTATGAGGGTCAGGATGATTTAAGGCTATTCTGCAGGGACCCGCTCGGGAGAAGGAAAAGCGAGAAAAGGAGAGGAGACAGCTGCGAGATTTGGTATGTTATGCTAAGCGCCCTGGACAAACTTATACCTCCTCTCTGGCAGGTTGGGAAAAATCTTCACGTTCTAAGTCAGCTTGAAGGTGTAGATCTTGCAATGTACAGGGATGTGGTCCTCCCAAGAGTGCTCGAACAGGTATGTTTCCATGTTCTTGAGAAATATAAACTCTAAAAGAGCACCAGGTTGTTAATTGCAAAGACGAAATCGCACAGTACTATTTGATGGACTGTATCATCCAAGTGTTCCCCGATGAGTTTCACCTGCAAACTTTAGAATCTCTTCTAGGAGCATGCCCCCAGCTACAGGTTTGTTATTTCTTTTACTATGATTGCTTTACAACTAACTGTGGTATGCAATCTTAGACCACTGTTGATGTCAAGACGGTAATGGCACAACTTATGGACAGGCTTTCGAACTATGTCGCCTCTACACCAGATGTCCTACCGGAGATTTTACAAGTAGAAGCTTTTGGCAAACTCAGCACTGCTACCATGAAGGTACGTAAGACCAGGCTTCTAGAATTTTTTGGAGATTTATTGTTGTTGCAGGTTATAGATGCTCAACCTGACATGCCGCTTGTAGGTGCTGTTAGTCTTTTTGTGGCTTTGTTAACCTTTACTTTGAGAGTACACGCTGATCGTCTGGACTATGTCGACCAAGTTTTGGTAAGCAACTTTGTCTGGTTATTACTGAGGTGCTCAAATCATTATTGATCAGGGTGCCTGCTTTAAGAAGCTTGAAGGAAGGGGGAAGGTTAAAGACAGCAAGGCTACTAAACAGATTGTGGCCTTGTTGAGTGCACCTCTAGAGAAGTACAATGACGTTGTCACTGTGTTGAAGCTTACGAATTATCCACGGGTTATGGACCACCTGGATTATGAAACGAACAAGAGTATGGCAGTGACTATTATCCAGTTCATTATGAAAAACAACACGCTTATATCGAGTGTTGATAAGGTGACGATAAAATCTTTTTTCAGGCAGTTTTTTAAAATGCAGGCCAGGTGGAGGCACTTTTTGAGCTTTTAAAAGAACTTATCAAAGACAGTGAAGGGAATCCCGCGTTAGACGAGGCAAGTCCAGCTTATTAAAAAAAGAATCCGTGGCTGACTTTCATGCTCATTCGTAACAGATTGATGAAGAAGACTTTCAAGAGGAGCAAAACCTTGTTGCTAAACTAGTACATCTTCTAAAGAACGATGATGACACAGAAATGTTTAAGGTAGTGATTCTTGGAGAAGGTCGTTGCCTGTAATACAAACTTCAAAACCTTTGCAGATTCTGGAAGCAGCTACAAAACACTTTACAGAAGGAGGTTCAAAGCGTCTCTCCTTGACTCTACCTTCACTCGTATTCTCGGCATTGAAGGTATATACAGTTCAGAGTTTATTTGGCTCTAACGTGTTCTCGGTAAAGTTTGTGCGACAATTACAATTCCGAAATGCAACGGACGAAAGCCCGGTTTCTCCAAAGAAAGTTTTCCAATATCTGCATCAGGTAACTTGGACGCACTAATTTTATCACAACCTTAATTTCTTTTTCACTCAGACGATTGAATCGCTATCAACAGTGCCTGCTCCGGAGCTGGCATTACGTTTATATCTTCAGTGCGCGGAGGCTGCCAGTGACTGTGACTTGGAGCCTGTTGCCTATGAGTTCTTTACGCAAGCGTTTATGCTTTACGAAGAAGAGATCGCTGTGAGTGTCGTGGCGAATTTATTTTCTGAACTTCGTCTTAACATTCATGTGCAGGACTCTAAAGCACAAATCACGGCAATGCACCTGATCATCGGGACATTGCAGAGAACTACTGTCTTTGGGGTAGAAAACAGAGACACGCTCACTCACAAAGCTACAGGGGTAAGCTTTGCTCGTACTTTCAGACCGAATCTCACTCTCGCTCTTGCAGTACTCGGCGAAATTGCTAAGAAAACCGGATCAATGTCGTGCCGTGTATGCTTGCTCGCATTTGTTCTGGAACGACGACGGTGGGACTCAAGACGGGGAGAGGTACGTTTCTCTCGGCACTGGATTAACTCTGTGAATCCCATAACACTGTCAAAACACTCAGGGTGCTACTGTGCTTAAAGCGAGCTCTCAGAATCGCCAATGCTGCTCAGCAAGTGTCCAGTGCAAGCAGGGGAAGCAGCGGACCAGTCACTCTCTTCGTTGAGATACTGAACAAGTCTGTTTTGCTAGATTTCGTTTCTTTCGTTTGAAACACTAAACTATTTCATTTCAGGTACCTCTACTACTTCGAGAAAGGCGTCCCGGCTGTAGCGAGCAGCCTTGTCCAGGGACTCCTGGAGCTGATCATGACGGAGACTCAAAGCGAGAAAACATCCAAAGACGCGGCTGTGGATGCTTTCTTCGCAAGCACGATGAGGTACATACAGTCCCAGAAACAAAAGAGCGATGCGTCTGGAGAGCGGTATGGTACCATTCAGATATAGCGCGGTGGAAAAAAAAAAAAAAAGAAGGCTCGTTGTGTATATCCTCCCATTCCAAATAAGCGAAATTTTTTTTAAGCGAATGACTTTAACTTAAAACAGTGACGTGCCATGTATCTCAGCCGTTAAAACTAGACGAGAAAGGTATGATCCCTTTATATATAAGGTTTATCACTTGGAGAATAGGTTAATGGCGTTTATCAAAGAACACTACGACTGTGTGGCAAGGGAGACAAGGGACGAGCGTAGAAAGAGTCGCGTGATTCGCCTTCGGCAGCTAAACAACATGGTAAAACAGTGTCTCTTGTCTGAGTTGATCGGTGGCGCTGGCGACCACAAAGCTTCGAATATCAAGGTCTTGGATCTGGCTTGCGGCAGAGGAGGCGACATCTTCAAGCTGGAGGGGCTGGGAGTGCGCAACTACGTGGGAGTGGACTTCTCCCCAGAACGAATCAAAGAGGCCGAGGAGAGAGCTCGAGCCCTAAGATCCATGGCAGCCAAGTTTGTGGAGCACGATTGCTTCTCGTCAAGTTTGCCCCAAGACGTCACGGCGGAGGGACCGTACGACGCTTGCAGCTGCCAACTTGCGATACACTACGCTGCATGCGACGAGGCCACCGCGCGGACGGCACTGGAGAACATCTCGGCGTCGCTCAAGCCGGGGGGATTGTTCGTAGGCACCACGGTCGACTCGCGGGTGGTTTTGGAGAAGCTAAAGAGGGTGGCGGGCAACACGGAGCTGTCCAACAGTGTGTACAAGCTCGCCTTGAAGCAACCCGTCAAGGAGGAGCTAGTGTTTGGCAACGAGTACAACTTTGCGTTGGAGGGCGTGGTGAACGACTGCCCGGAGTACCTTGTGTTCTTCGATGCCTGGGAGAAGCTTGCGAGGGAGTATGGTCTCAAGCTCGTCATGCACGCAAATTTTAAAGAGTTTGCTTGGAAGCACAGGCTGGGCAGGAAGATGGGCGAGCTCACAGGGGCGGAGAAGGAGGTTTTCCCTTTGTATTGCGTCTTTGCTTTCGAAAAGTTGCCCTGTATGAGCAGGAATAAGAAGCTCAAACGATGAAATAAGTTACTATGCTCACTCTGGAGCTTAGATTGTAAGATCAACACTATACCCTTTTTAAAAAATGTTTCGTTTTTGCTAAGATAAACCAATTTTTAGGAGCGCTCGAGCTTTGCAGGCATGGCGCGGATTCGCCAGCGCCTCTGCTGCTTGGATTCGCAAGCGCCGTCGTTGCCGACGCCTTCTCCTGCCTCCAAGCATTTGATCAGGTATGGATTTTCGAGGCTCTCTCGAGAAATGTAGGCAATGGCCGTGTGGTTTCGTCGCAGAATGGATAAGAAATCCATCGCCGACGACTGTGACCTGTCTCCACATGCGATTTCCCTTATCAACTTAGAGCTGCTGTTGCGGAGGCAGCTCCTTCACAGCGCTGATCGATCAGTGCTTTCTAAGCAAAGACAGTTATTTTTCTTTTCTATTTCAGAGGCGAGAGGTGGAATGGATGGGGGAAGTGGTCTCTCCTGGATGCTCCACAGGACCAAGATCTCTCCCTGGTGTGGTGGTCACGGGAGGAGCTTTTACTGCTGACTCCCAGGGGGATCGAGTAGTTAGTGAAAGGTGGTTCAAAGGCCTGGGCTTATCTCCGGAGACGCGGAGTTTCTGTATTCGATGCAGCTCCGAGTTCTGGAAAGCATGAGTGTGGGGGATCTCTGAAAGAGCTGTGCTGTTTTCCGGAAACGAAGAGATCGTTGTGAGTGTGTGGCATATTAATTTTCTGGACGCTGCAGAGAAGTACTGTTTATGAGAAAACAGAGACACGCTCACTCACAAAGCTGCAGGGGTAAGCTTTGCCGGTACTTTCAGACCCAGTCTCACTCTCGGACTTGCAGTACTCGGGGAAATTGCTAAGAAAGACGGATCAATATCGTGCTGTGTATGCGAGCAAGCATTTGTTCTGGAATGAGCATGGCGGGACTCAAGACGGAAAGAGGTGCATTTCTCTCAGCAGTAGATCTGTCAAAACTCTCAAGACACTGTCAAAACTCTCAGGGTGCTGCTGCGCTTAAAGCGAGCTCTCAGAATTGCCAATGCTGAAGCAGCGCCTCTCTTCGTTGCAATACTGTTCAAACTAAGTTCATTCCAGTTACCTCTACTACTTCGAGAAAGGCGTCCCGCTCCCGCTCGCAGCAGGTCCTTGATTGTAGTTAAAGCCGAGTGATCCCTCTCAGCGGGAGTGGACTTTATCTTCGAAAGAATCAAAAAGAGACCTCGACCTTGGCAGCGAAGTTGACACGCTTGCAGCTAACTTGCAATACAGTACGCTGCCACCGTGGGCAGATGGCTTGTGCGTGGTTTTGGACAGCATCCATGAATTTCTCTCAACACAACTTGACTTGCCTCTCATTTATTTAAAGCATAGACAGCATCTCATTCTGAACAGGTTATAGAGAAGCTGAGAAATGGAAACCCCCAGTCCTGACATTCTTCGTAAGTTATGGGCTCAGGTAGACCTCCACAATTTGGTTGTACGAAAATATCAATGAGATTCCCATCGAAGTGAATCTTGTAACTTTGAACTCCTTCTAGAGTCTGGCACTGACCACAACTAGAATACTTATCAATTTGCTCATCACAACCTGATGCAGCATACGTAGTGATGGTGGTGTCAGCTCCCACACTCCCAGTAACCAATGCAATCACAACTATGATGAACGGGATCACATATACACTAGCCTTGAGCACTCCAGCCATATTCACTGCTTGCCATTGATCCAAAGTTTTAGTGTTATATAGCTCAACTCAGCTGCCTGCGTGCAACTCGTGGGATGATTGTGTGATCTTTTTGGGCATAAGTTAAGCAGCTTTTAAATTTTCATTTCACGTGGGACACAGCTGTGAACAGCTTAGCGTAATTAGTTTACCATCAGCAATTATTTATGTTGGAGTGCACATGTGTGGAAATGCTCCAAACTTGGTCCTATTTGGCGTCAAGCGCAAGAGCTTCAGAGCCTCGATAATCCATGCCATGGATTATCGTCGGCTAGGTATAGGAGATTCCACACGTGAATCATCCTTGTCCAAGAGAGATTGAGGAATATGCCCAGTCATTTCTACAAAAGTGCTTAAACCCTAGCGTTTTTCTAGGGCTTAACCGGATGTTCTCTCCCGCCTCGCGAGGCGCTCGAGCTCGCAAGGCTCCGCAGCGGCATGGCGCGGATTCGCCAGCGCCTGCGCTGGGATCTGCTGCCACCGCCTCCAGCTCGCCTCAAGCGCCGCCGATGCCGACGCCTTCTCCTGCCTCCAAGCATTTCAGGTATGGATTTTCGAGGCTCTCTCGAGAAATGTAGGCAATGGCCGTGTGCTTTCGTCCTAGGATGGCTCCCATTTTGAAGAGTGGAGACAAGAAATCCATCGCCGACGGCTGTGACCCTGTCTTCGTGTGCGATTTCCCTCATCAGCTTAGAGCTGCTGTTACGGAGGCAGCTCCTTCACATCGCTCAGGCAAGTCGATCGATCAGTGCTTTCTAAGAAAAGACCGATTCTTGTTTTCCTTTTCAGAGGCGAGAGGTGGAATGGATGGCGGAAGTGGTCTCTCTTGGATGCTCCACAGAACCAAGATCTTCGTGTGGAGCCATTTGCGCAACCAGGCGTCGTCAGAGTGTAAGATTCTCAACGTCCCACCACAGCTTTGCACGGAAGGCGATGGTCAGAGTATTGATTCCAGACATGGAAGTAGCTGGCTCGTCCGGATTGTGAATCGTGGGAAGGAGTCTAGTCTCGTGAAAGGTCGCGTTTCAGCTAGCCTCGTTCTATGCAGTCAGAAGAGCTTGACGGTGGTTTACTGGCCGGATATTTTTAGGGACACAGAGATCTTGCCTGTGGTGGCTATGCCGGATGACAAGCTTCTTCAGATAGATGACAGATATGGTGGAGCTCCCGGACGGAGGTCTTCTTCGTCGTCGTATGGTCCTCAAGCAGATACAAAGCCGGTGAAGTCACTCATTGCCACAGGACTTAGAAACCTGGAATGCGTAGCCATCGCCAGCTGCTTGGGGAACTTATGGAGGTTTGACTGCTCCGTGTCTGGGATTTCCTGGCGGTCTGTAAATGCTGAGGTTCGTGGGAAGAGCGACAACTTTGGGCCTTTCGATTTCAACAACAATGGCATAGTCCGCTCCCTGGTGTGGTGGTCACGGGAGGAGCTTTTACTGCTCACTCCCAGGGGGATCGAGTGCTGGGACGTGCAGTTAGTGAAAGGTGGTCAGCTCTCAAAGGCCTGGGCTTACGATATCTCCGAAGACGCGGAGGTTTTGAAGGATCTAACGAGTCAGAAACAAGTGTGGCTTCTCGATTTGCAAGTTACTGCGGAAAAGAACCTGACCGTGCTAGCGGCATCTTTATCCAAGGATCGAGTCACGAGCTCCAGTTACATGCAGTACTTCATGCTCACTTTTCTGTGTGCACCACCTTCGGGTAGGAGATTCGGCGAATGCTGTGACCCGCAGTTCAGATGCGTCAAGAAGAAAGCTCCAGCACAAGTTATCTTACCGAAGGCTCGAGTAGAGGTGGAGGAGTTTCTGTATTCGATGCAGCTCCGAGTTGGTGGAAAGCCTGCCGGTTCAGCCATGGTTCTTGCAGGTGATGGCACCGCAACGATCTCTCATTACTTACACGGCGTTGGTCGGCTATACCAGTTCGATCTTGCATGGGATGCCGGCAGAGTTTTAGACGCTTCTGTGGTACCTTCGGTTGATGACAGCGACGAAGGCGCTTGGCTTGTTTTGACCGAGAAAGCAGGAGTGTGGGGGATTCCTGAAAGAGCTGTGCTGCTTGGTGCTGTTGAGCCTCCGGAAAGGAGCCTCTCGCGGAAAGGCAGTGCTAAAGACGAGTCCGTCAAGGAGCAGAGGCGACGATTAGCAGTCGAAAGCACGGATGGTGTGGGAAAAGTCCTGACAAGGAATTCCACTCAACGTCTTCTCCAAGATGAAGAAGCAGAGGCAACAGTCGGTCAGCTATTTCAACATTATGTGACTACTCGGCAAGTGATCGCGGTCTTTGAGAAGCTACAGAAGACCGGAGCATTCGATGACGAAGGCGAAATGAATATTTTCGCTCGCTTCAGCAAGTCAATTGTCGATACAATAGCCAAGCATTGGGCTTCGGGTGGAGCTGGAGGTGCAGCCACGATGGCCATTACTTCGCAACTTACTGAGAAACAAAAGCGCCATCAACAGTATCTGAATTTTCTCGCAGCTTCTAAATGTCATGAGTTCCTTCGGCACCAACGAAGTAAGTCCGTGTATTAAGTTTCTCTCTCCGTTTTTGGCTGCTGAACAACGTCTTGACCAGGGAGTAGTCTGCACACGATCCTGGAGCATGGTGAGAAACTTGCTGCGTTGCTAAAGATCAAGGACACGTACAACTCTCGAGCTCCTGGCCAGAGCGGTGGTGAAGCAGAAGAAGCTCAGATTACTGGAGCTCTCTGGGATACAATTCAGCTAGTCGGAGAGAAAGCTCGCAGAAAGAATGTGATGCTCATGGACAAGGAAAAGATGGAGGTGTTTTTTACGCGGGTATCAGACATAGAAGAGCTTTTCGGTTGCATCGATGAACACAGTCAAGCTATAATCGGGCAGGAGATGTCACTGAAGTCACAAACCGAACGCTTATGCGAGGTTGCCGACGCCTGCTCCTCTGCTGTTAGAGCTGGCATTCAGTACAGAGATACACAACAGACATGGTATCCGTCTCCAGAGGGCTTGACGCCCTGGTACTGTAAAGCAACAGTGCGTTCCGGATTATGGCGACTGGCGACCCATCTTATGGACGTCCAGACAGAGCTTGACGTCCAGTCAAAGGAAAAGCTGATGGTATCTCTTGCTGATATAGCCGATGTTCTTCTCGAAGGCTATGCCGGTGCTATTTTGGCCAAGATAGAGCGCGACGAGGAGTACCGAGGCTTGCAACTCGAGTACTGGAGCAGACGTGATAGTCTTCTACTGACTCTTCAACAGCATGAAAGAGAAGCAGCCGAACTGGCTTCTCAGGTAAAGATCAGTTGTGTGACATACATGGCTCTAACTAACGTCGTATTTGGTGTGTAGCACGCTGAAAGCGCCGACGCGGGGGAGCAGAAACGGCTGGAAGTGCTGCGAGATCGGTATTCGTCGCTTTTGGCTTTGGCTCGACGTCATGCAGGCTATCAGACACTTTGGGAAATATGCATCGATCTCAATGACATGGATTGTCTGCGCAAACTTATGGTGAGTGCCTGCTTTTACTGTTCATATCACCTGACGTACGAGCTGCTACAACTGTGTGCAGCATGAGAGCATGGGATTGAAGGAAGGACGCTTCAGTAACTACGTTTTTGAGCAGTTCCTGAAGAAAGGCCAGTACTCCAAGCTACTGCGTCTGGGAGAAGAGTTTGCAGAAGACCTTGCGTCCTTTCTTCGGGACAAGAAATCTCTTTCCTGGCTCCATGATTTCTTCCTCAAGAGATTCACTGCTGCGTCGGATACCACCCATCACTTGGCTCTCTCGAGCAGCGACTTGAATATCCCGATCATTCGGGACGAAAAACCGACGTCCGGTTTTACTCTATCTGCCCGACGAAAGCTTTTATATCTGGCAAAACTGTCGGCACTTGCAGGTATGTAGCACTGTCACAAGCTTTCCGAACGTGATTATGTGTGTCCGTACTTTCAGGCTGGAAGCGTGGAGCTGTTGACAAGTCGATTCAGATCGAAGCAGATCTTGGAATTTTAGCTGTTCAGGTCTGTCTACAACCAACTTGTTTACGTTTCGTTGAATTCTTTTCCACTGCGACAGGAGGCTGCTGCTGAGTTGGGGATTGCAACTTCTACCGAAGTTCTGTCACCGCTGCAGCTCGTTGAAGCGTGCCTGAACAGTGGCCACAAGGAACTAGTTATACGTTCTCTGGAGGTTTTCGCGCTGTCGGGGGACTTTTTCAGAAGAGGGAACAAGAGCCTTTTGGAAGCAACATGGCTGAAGCTCGCTGATCAAGACGACTGGCTGAAAATGAGGCAGCTCTCGGACGAGGAATGCTGGAATGACCAACAGCAGTACGAAGCTCTCAAGGCAACTGCCCTCTACGCAGCGTCAAAGTACTGTTACGGGGGCTCGGCGTTTGTAGTTGGCACACTGTTCGAGGAGACGCTGCCACTTTTTCGAGAGATCGACGCCAGCAGTCGAAGGGCCGAGCCGGGCAGTGCAGGCTCGGTGAATGAGGTGCTGACGGAGCACGAGGACTTTCCGGAAGCAGGGGAAGCCATGGTGATGGCGCTGAGGATGGGGAAAGGACTGGAGCTTGTAGCTGAGGAGGACAACTGCATGGAAATGTGATCATGTCCTCGGGGAACTTGTGCATGCATGCCACTGGTCATCTTTGAGACAACTTTGAAGCGAACTTCCCTCAAGAAACAACAAGCGTCGACGAATTTTCCTGCTCACCAGCTCTCAACTAGGATCGCAGCAGGCCTAAGCATGCGTCGTCGGCCCAAACCTCTCTGTCTCTCGTCTTATCGTGAGATTCCATGGCTGGATAAAACCCTCCTGCTTATGAATAGACAACCTTGTGATGAGCACTGCAGAGATTATCATTATCATGGCCAGGATTTTGCTTGTTGCATGACTAGAGCTGGATCAAGCTGCCATTCCCAAGCCTCCTTCAGGCAAGCAGTCGCAATCCATTCAAGCTATACAATGGAAGATGAAGTGGTAATAGATAAATTTCTCTCTGACTAAGTCCAGATGTTGAAGCTTTGCCTCTCACTTATTTAATAACATCACACAGCATCTCGTGCCTATCCACTAATTTCTCACAACATTGTCAACAGCGCGAGTCTATAGAAGCTCAGAATGGGACCAAATGCTTCATTGACTTGAGTTATAAACGAGCATTGACCTTTAAGTGACAAGCTGGTGGTGTGGATTTTCATCATAGTCAATCTTGTAACCTTACTGCTAGAGTCCCAGGAATGATCACAAGTAGTGTAGGTATCAGTTGTTACGACACAACCGGACTCAGCATGTAGCACAGTTATAACTTACTTTCACTAACGAACTTGTTATTGCAGGACATAACGTATCAACAAAACAAAATTAAACTTCAAAAGCTTATATATTTTTTATTATGAATCGGAAATGAAAAGCTCTTTAAAAATCATACTTCTTCAATTTTCTCACATTTCCTCTTCCCATTTGGCCCAGCCTTAGTTTTGCGCTCAAGTATATTCGTATTTTCATCTTCATCAACGCTGAAAACCGTACAAGAGAAGCCAAGTTGCTTAAATTCTTCCCATACCATCCTGATTTAACTTCAAATTGCAAAGAAGGATAGATTTCCATAACAGCTTGATAAGCTTCTCTCCTCAAGTGCAATAATATCAAGGTTACTGCTTGAACACACCTATTTGCACATATTGTAACATACTGTTGGTGACCTCCAAGAGACAACATTGATTTGTGCAGCACGATCTATTGGTTGGATTAACTTGCTCCAGTCAAGGGAGAAAGGAAGAAAGAAATTCCAAATTCCTACAAGTTTTTCCATTGATTGTTGCTGTTACTTCATGCAGAGCTTTTGTAAAAGTTCCAATTTTAAATAATTAGCAATGGAGACCCTGAGTTCCTGATTCTGTGTGACAAAATCGAAGCTAGGAACACATCGATGATCATTGGGTACTGTTTCTTCTCTTAGATCCTTGATATCATTGTCATAAGTAAAAAGTTGACAGAAGCATGTAGATGACATTTGATAAATGGTTGCTATATTCTTGATGACCATTGAACAACATTGATTCAAATATTCAATCCCATGGCTTTCAGAGAAATGGGGTGAATAGTAAACATTAGTCATGCCATCTAAACCCAAGCTTGTATACTTTCAACTTCAAGACGGCAAATACAGTCACCACAATATGAATGTCTTTTTTTTTTAATTTTACCATTTTATTGAAATTTGAAGCCACAAATAAAATATTAAAATTTAAAAATAAAATATCATAACATTAGTTTATAATATTATGGCTATATCATGAATTAATTAGTTTATGTGCACTTGGCTTAGATGAACATAATATAATTATATAAAAAGATAAACCAATCTCTTATAAATTAGTGGCTTATATTTTATAAATTGATTTATGTCATGATTAAGAAATTTAATTATTTTTTATATATAAATAACTAAATTTTTATTTTAAATTAATTTTTAATGTATTTGTGAGGGCCAATGCACTCACATATTTAAATTTGTTTTTTTATTTTAAATATTTATTATAGAATATATTTGGTAAAAGAAATATAAACTGGGGTAAGAATAATTTATTTAATGAGGAAAATATTAATACAATTTTACATCACATTTAAAGACTTAAACTTCAACTACAGGAATTTAATATTTATCTACAAAATTATATTGATACTGATTTAAAAGATATTGATAAAGGAGGTGTTATTATAAGAATTCAACATTTAATTGGAAGTACTTCATATTGTTCTACAAAAGCTCAACTGGATAATAAATTTAAGTCTCCAAAGATCAATAAATGAAATAATTAGAAAGGTAATAAATAATTTATTATAAGAACTTTTTAGTGAATGTAGAATTGTGTCTAATAATTATCTTATTTGATATATATAGTAACTCTTTGGAAACCCTTAAAAAATTTAGAAAAAATAAATATGGTTTTTAAATATTTTCAAAATTGTGATATTACTTTGACTACTTCAAGTGTTTGATCATAATTTATATAGGCGTAAATTTTTACAATCCCCAAATTGTATGAATATACTATATACCAAAATCAATTGTAAACTTGCATTGTTTTCTGGAAAAAATAACTTATGGGAATCTCCAAATAATGAGTATTTTGGAAAATGTTTTTTAGATCTTCAAAATAATGAAAATTTAGTGTTATATACTTTTTTTAAAATGAAAACGTATTATGGTCTCCCAATAAGTACTGTTATGACAAACCAAACTGTTTACTTTTAACTTATAAGATAATTGTAAACTGGTGAGCTTAGATTATTATAAACATGTTGGCTGCTTAAGCTAGAATTGTCTTATTGAATAGATTTACTTTACAGAATGCAATAATATTTACAAGAATTGAGTGATAACAAGAATTCATCCACTTCATTCTTCTTGACCTTCTGAACTAGCAGCTAAAGGTGGACATGATGGGCTTCCCCCGCAGGTTCGGTCCACGTCCTTGATTTTCTTCATTTTTGAGCTTGGCTGGTGCAGTGCTCGACGCGTCGCAAAAAAAACCTCCCTGCACTTTCTTAAGCCAGTAGTTTCATGTTTGTTTTTACGTATTGCATGGACGACAAACAAAATGTATCACCAGTAATCCTTGCAAGAACACTGGCCATCCTCAAAGTGATGGAACCTGTGAGTGTCTCGCACAACTATCCTCCTCCTCATGATCTTTGCAATAACTTTGGTGGCGGCGTGACAATCCGAGCAAACCCGGAGGTTCTTGACGATCAAGAGAGGAGTTCCAGGTGGTGTGGCGATCAACCCAAACGCAATGGCCAGCTTCTCACTGTGCAATCCAATCAGCTGCTCTTTCTCCTCCTCGTTCACGGCATGAAGGACGTCCTTCGTGTTTGGAACGTACCCGGCTTCTCTCATCCTTCCGCCGAGCTTCTCCAACTCTAGCAAGATCTCGTCTCGGCTGGGATGAGCTCGATCGCCAGCGACGAACTCATGGACCTTGTTCTTCACCTCGATGAAGCTCTTCCCGGGTACTTTCTTGAGGCCCCGATCCGTCATGCTCTTCCTCACTCTCATTTGGTCTCCATATCTCTCGGTGGCGGCGTAGACGTTTCCCAGCAGCGTGTACGCCATGCTATCCTCGGGCGCGAGCTTCGCGAGGAGCTCCGCCACCTTTGTAGCTCGCTCGGCCTGGCTATGGATTCTACAAGCGTTGAGCAGCGTCTTCCATGTCACTGTCTCGGGGTGAAAAGGCATGCTGTGGATCAGCTCCTCGGCGTCCTGGAGGCGCCCCGCGCGGCCGATCGTGTCCAGCGCTCGGCAGTAGTGCGTCTCAGTTGGAGCGATGGCGTAGTCCTCCACCATGCTGTGGAAGAACTCGAGGCTCTCCTTGATGAGCCCGGCATGGCTGCAAGCGCGGAGAACGCAGATGAAAGTGGTGGCGTCGGCCACCATGCCTTCCAAGTTCATCTCCTTGAAGAGCTCGAGAGCTTCATCGCCCTGGCCGTGCTGAGCAAGCGCAGCAATCATCGCAGTCCAGGATACAGAGTTCCTGGTTTCCATGGCGGTGAAGACTTTGCTGGAGCATTCGAGCGAGCCACACTTAGCATACATGTCGAGCAGCGCGGTCTGGGCGAGGACGCTCGAGTGGAAGCCGCTGGCATCTAGGCGGGAATGGATTTGTTTGCCAACTTTGAGAGCTCCAGAACAAGCACACGCATTGAGGACGCTGGCGAGCGTGACACTGGTTGGAGGGATACCTTCCAAGTTCATCCTGTGGAAGAGTTCCAACGCCTCGAGAAGCTCGCAGTTCTCCGTGCAAGCGGTGATCATGTTCGTCCACGAGAAGGCGTCCGGATGATCCATCGCGTCGAAGACTTTGCGAGCTTCTTCCAGGCTGCCACACCTCACGTACATGTTGAGCAGCGCGTTCTCGAGGATGGCGTTGGATGATTTGAGCTCTCCGCTCGCCATGGCGAGAGCGTGAATCTCTCTCCCTTGCTCCAGATCCTCGATCACACCACAGGCATTGAAAACTCCAGTGAAAGTCATGGCATTCGGCTCCACTATTCCATCTTTTCTCATCCTATGAAAGAGAAGGAGAGCTTCCTGGCCGCGGCCATGGAGAGCGTAAGCTCCGATCATGGCAGACCACGAGACGACCGTTCGCTCCAGGATTCCATTGAAGATAGCTCGAGCTTCGTCCAGGCAGCCACACTTGGCATACATACTTACGAGCCCATTCTGTGCGATGGTGGCGCGGTGGAATCCACACAGTGAGAGCCGAGAGTGGATTCTCCGGCCTTCCTCCATAGCTCCCAAGCTGGAGCAAGCGCTAAGAGCCACAGCAAAGGTGACGCTACTCGGCTCGACAGCCTCGGCCAGCATCTCGCGATAGAGATCGAGAGCTTCGTGCCAGCGATCGTTCTGGGCGTGAGCCGAGATGACTGCGTTCCAGGTGACACTCGTTCGCTCGTTCATCTCGCCAAACAGTTTCATTGCCTCTGGGATCTTGGAGCACTTTGCGTAGAAGTTGACGAGCGCGTTCTGGACGAGAAGGTTGGAGCCATAGCCGTGCTCGTCAGCCCAGCGATGGATCCTCGCTCCTCGCTCGAAGCTCTTGAGGCTGGAACAGGCACTGAGGGCCACCGAGATGGTAAAGTCGCTTGGAAAAAGGCCGTGGCTTTGCATAGAGTCGTAGAGACCCAATGCCGCGGTGGTATGCCCATTCTGGGCATATGCGGTGACGAGCAGGGACCAAGAGAGCGTGGTTTTTTCTGGGATGGAATCGAAGACTTCTTGAGCGCTGCTTAAATCCCCGCATTTTCCATACATTTGGAGGAGGAGATTGCCCAGCTGGGAATTTCTCTGGAGGCCTGCCTGATTGATCCGGCGGTGAACGTACTTGCCTTGGAGGAGAGATCTTTGAGCTCGGCAATGGCGCAGCGAGCGAGCGTACGAGGCTTGCGAATCTTCGACGAGATCTCGAGAATTTTTTGCTAGAGCTGCGAAATATCTTCTTCTCGATCCTTTTCTTTCCCCGAGACCAAGACGAACCAAGAACATAGTCTATGATCCCGTGACCCATCGCTTGCAATTCATTCAACGAGAAGAAGAATGTCGCTACCGGGAGGTATGGAGACCAAATGAGAGTGAGGAAGAGCATGACGGATCGAGGCCTCAAGAAAGTACGCCGGACATTGAGGGGAAGAACAAGGTCCATGAGTTCGTCGCTGGCAATCGAGTTCATCCCAGCCGGCAGACGGATGAGAGAAGCTGGATGTGTTCCAATCACGAAGGACGTCCTTCATGCCGTGGGCGAGGAGGAGAAAGAGCAGCTGATTAGATTACACAGTGAGAATGACCATCACGTTTGGGTTGATCGACACACCACCCGGAACTCCTCTCTTGATCGTCAAGAACCTCCTGGTTTGATCTGACGCCACCAACGTTATCGCAAAGATCACGGGACAGAGAATTGTTGTGCGAGACACTCACAGGTTCCATCACTTCGCCACTGTTAATGTTGATACATTTTGTTTGAGATACGTAAAAGGACATGTTTGGCTTTACTCCAATCGAGGAAGGAGGTAATTGCCTAGATAAAGTTTGGTTTAAGCTCATACTAAGCTGTTCACAGCTGTGTTCAACTCTCAACAGTTGTTATGACCAATTGAGGATATATTAATCCGATCGTGTTAGTGTGAACTTCATGCTTGCTTATATATTCAAAAGGTCGTGCACAATTAGCTCACAAGCAACTATTAACAATTCAGCCGAGTTTCATGCAAGAAGCTAGACATTCAGCTATAAAAGACCCAAACTTGGGACTGCAAAGCAACAACATCACCAGCAAGCAATCAACATGAGGGTATTCAAGGGTAGTGTATGTGCGCTCCCATTCATCATGGTTGTGATTGCATTGGCCACCGGAGGTGTGGGAGCGCTCACTAACATCACTACGTATGTTTTACCAGGTTGTGTTGTAGCAACTGGTACGTACTCCAGTTGTGGTCAGTGCCAGACTCTAGCAGTAGCAACTGGAGGTTACAAGATTGGCTTTGATGGAAAGCCTATGCGGATTTACACATTACCAGCTTGTCAAGGTCAGGGTGCAGTGATAGGGCAAGACCACGAAGCATGTGGTGTGGCTACAGTTCCCATCCTCAGCTTCTTTATACGCTGCTGACAATGTCCCTCTAGATGGGCGCTGCAAGACCTCGTGAGATGCTGTGTGAATTTTCTTTCTCATTTCCTATTGAATAAATGAGAGACAGTTGTGTTTAGAGAAATCACTGCCAATTATCAATTTTCACGTGCTTGTTCAGTCTGCTTCCATGGCAGCCTTGAACGCTCTATGCGTAGTTTGAGATGCTGGCGGGTCGACGCTTGTTGAGCAACAGGCTTGATCGCAGCACACAAGTTTTTTCCCACGGCTTCAAAATTGTCTCAAAGAGGTCCCCAAGGACGTGACATGCCGTTGTTACAAGCTCCAACTATCCTTTTCCCATCCTCAGCGCCATCACGTCCTCGTGCTGCGTCAGCACCTCATCACCGAGCCTGCACTGCCCGGCTCATGTGCCCCGGGCCTCCGTAACAGTACTTTGATGCTGCGTTGCTTTGAGCACTTCGTACTGCTGTTGGTCATTCCAGCATTCCTCGTCCTCATTTTCAGCCAGTCGTCTTGATCAGCGAGCTTCAACCATGGCGCCTCCAAAAGGCTTGTGGCCCCAGTCCAAGCACGAGATGCCGTAGAAGTTGCAATCCCCAGCTTAGCAGCAGCTTCCATTCAAGAAAACGTAAACAAGTTGTTTATAGACCGACCTGAACAGCTAAAATTCCAAGATCTGCCTCGATCTGAATTGACTTGTCAACCTCTCCACGCTTCTAGCCTGGAAGGACACACATAAGCAAGTTCCGGAAGCTTCTGAAAGTGCTATATACGTGCAAGTGCAGACAATTTTGCCAGATATTAAAGCTTTCGTGGGATGTCGGTTTTCCAATGCAGCAGTGAATCTTTTGAGGAAGAAGTCATGGAGCCAGAAAAGAGGATGCAGTAGCTTGGAGTTACTGAAGCGCTCTTCCTTCAATCCCTCATGCTGCAGACATAAGTAGCTGGTAGCCACTCAAGACAAGTTTTCTAAAGTGTCTGATAGCCACATCAAAGAAGATATTAGAAGCATGTACATCACATAAGTAATATTTATTTGAGAAGCCAACTAAAATTTCAGCTGGATGTGCCAGGTATCAAATATTCAACTGAACATAGTCAAGCTATAACTAGGTAGGACATGTCATTGAAACGAAAGCTTATGCAAGGTTACTCCTCTATTGCATAGGTACACTTCGAGTAATCTCCTCTTGAGACATCACCATAAATGCTGGTGCATCAAATTTATACCTATGTTAATTACTTCTTTTTTATGCGTATTATGTGTTACATCCTCCTAGCTTCCAAATTAAGTGATTAACCTTTGATCATGTATAAATTCTTAGCCTCATAGGTTTTCTCTTCTGCAGTCAACTCTAACTTAGTTCCTTCAACTTGTCAATCCCACTTAAAAAGTCATTCAACCATGTAATATAGTTTTATACATACATATGTAAATCTTTAAATATAAACTTTCATTCAAAATTATCCTTTGAAAATGTAAGAATTACTCCCCCAATTTTAATAGCCTTGTTTCATGGGAAATTACACTTCTACTGTGCTACTTTGATTTCACATGTTCATATTTAACTTTTTAAGTATTAAAGCCTTTCTAATCACAAGTTTTTTATTTACCATTTACTCTATTATAGACACTTTCATACCTTAGACTCTTCACAGTACCATGTTTGCAAATAGCAAACATTTAAGCTCACTCCTCAATTTTTATTTTTAGGTTTTATCCCTTTTATTAATTCTTGGATCTATATATTTCTTTCATTTATTGTTCTATATACTAAAGGGGTAATTTTATAATTCTTGCTTTCATACTTAAATTGGCTATGCTTATCTTATATTCCCACACATCAAGATTAATGTTGTTACTTATGGCTTTCATATACCCATTATTATCCATGCTAAAGTACTTTTGGGTATAAGTTATAAATTTTTCTTTTCCAATTTGCTAACTTATCTTGTCTATCCAACCATCTTTAACTAAATTCCTTTGTTAAAATTCCAAAACATGTTTTATGTCTAGCAACTCTTTCCTGGCATAATCACAAATCATAACCGTGCTCAATGATATAAAGGCCATTTTATCACTTTGTTTTTGCCACATAATATTTTAGCCTACTGTACGAGGTATGTAGCTCTCCATTGAAGTGAAAAATGGCTGTTTCACATAGGAAGTTGTTATGACGGTTTAAGCATGATGACTCAGGTCTGCTAACACATTTTTAAAGAAAAGTGGCGATTCTCTCTAAAAGAAGAAGTCAATCAGAAGCAAGCCAAAGAGAATCAGGTTATTGGGGGATCACACCATTTGCCTAGATGGTGGAGGCAGCGGCATCATCGCCATTCGTGGTGGTGACAATGATGGTGCTTCTGGGGTTCACGCACCTACAGTTCCTCCAAATCTCCCCGTTGGCCGACGTCTTGATCCTCAGCTCGCCCATCTTGAGCAGAGACCTCCGGAAGCGCAGCTGGAATCGGTTCTCGTCCCCGGCAAACGACCGCACGATGCTCTCCGTCTCCGACAAGCAAGCAAGCATGGTTTTTTCTGGGATGGAATCGAAGACTTCCTGAGTGTTGCGTAAATCCCCGCATTTGCCATTCTGGAGGCCGGTGGTGGACACTCTTGCCTTATGCCCAAGCTCAAAAATCTCTCCTCTATGAGGCTTGCGAATCTTTGATGAGATTGTGAGAAGTTTCTGCTAGAGCTGCAAAATATCACAAACCAAGAATATAGTCTATGATCCTGTGACCCATCGCTTGCGATTCATTTAACGAGAAGAAAAAGATCTTTTACATCAGCAAGCTTTTAGGGAAGGAGAAAAATCCAGAGCATTGGAAAAGAACTTACGTTTTGGAAGAATAACCGTACAGAGTAGGTTCTTCCGTACAAGGAGATGGCGAAGAGCGCCTCTATTTAGGGTTAGGGGTTACAATGGGCTCCAAGTGTAGCAGAGCTCAGGGCAGGGAATGAGCGGCATCGGCGTCTTGTTTCGCCTTCGCCTCTCTAAGCTCGCGAGCGCGATTGGATTGGCGGATAGAGCGCGAGCATTCTCTTCCGGGAGGAAGGAATGGAAATGGGAATCGCGCGCTGCGTAAGTTTCCTTCACCAGGCATCGTAGAGATGCCACATTCTTTGTTATCTCGACTTCCTCGCATTCTTGTGTCTCCGAAAGATTGCGCTGATTCTTGTGATTTTTTCGATGCCACAGCTTCTGCCAGACGCATGGACCGAGAATGGATCCGGCAGCACCGTCGACTTCATCGTCTCAACCATCCGACGCGATGCCTGGTTCGATTAAAGTCACTGCTCTTCGTTTCTCTTGATCCTGGCGATCCCTGCAGACGAGCTTCTAGCGGCAGGAGCTCTTACTCCTGCGAAAGTGGTGGAGGTTTTGGATCGATACATAGTCGGGCAAACGGCAGCAAAACGGGCAGTCGCTGTGGCATTTCGTATGCGCTTTTCCAGAGCGTGGTGTAGGTGACTGTGGTAATACGTGCATCTCATGTGTCTTCTTCCTAGAGGGAATCACAGAGAAATTCTTGTTCGTGCTTTGTTGTGATTTTGCGCGCTCATCTGATTGGGATTGTTTCTACGTGTTTTTCTTGAGAGTCGGTGCGTTGGCTGACTATTTGTTTTGGTGATCGCTTTTTGCAGGAAATAGATGGCGCCGGCATCGCATCCCAGTTGAGTTGAGAGATGAAATTGTGCCCAAGAATATCCTTATGATTGGTCCAACAGGCTGTGGCAAGACAGAAATTGCTCGAAGGCTTGCGAAGATCTCTTACGCTCCATTTGTCAAGGTGATATTTGAATTTCGTATGAAGTTTGAGATTAGTTTTTTCCTTTTTCCTGTTCTTTTCCTCTTTTGAAGGTCGAAGCCACAAAGTTTACTGAAGTTGGATTTCATGGGCGAGATGTAGATCAAATTATCAGAGATTTGGTCGATAATGCAATTGTCCTGCAGCGGCAAAGGGTATAATTAACTTTCCTCTTAGCATATTGCTAACGACTACTTATACTAGATCCGCACCAAGATTTCTAAAGAGGTGGAGAAGAGCGTTGAGGATCGAATTCTGGATGTTTTGGTTGGAGTTCAGCAGGTAAAACGGCGTCTTTTCTTGAGCTTGATAACATTATTATTATTATTATTGTTTGTTTTGCTGTCGCAGGAGGAGATTAGTGAGAAAAGCTTAACGTCCATGGACATGTTCAGGAAACTGTACAGGGAAGGAGCAATCGACAACCGGAAAATTCAGCTGGATGTGCCGGAAGGACGAGTTCGTCTTCCTGTTGATGTGATGGGAAACGGCTTGCCTGTTAACGATCTGATTTACAAGGTATCATCTCTGCTCATGGGAAATATATGTTCGTACTAAGATGGACATTGAGCAGGTGTTGAAGTCCCCCAAAGTGGAGCGACGTGAAATCACGGTTGGGGAAGCAAGGCCGCTCTTGACAGAAATCGAAATGGAAAAGTACTTACAATCGGACCAAATTGTGAAGGACGCAATCCAGGTAGAAAATGATCATTAGAATCTTGCTTGTTGTAAAGAGTGGCTTCACAGCTTACGGAGTCAGATGGTATTGTTTTCATTGACGAAATTGACAAAATAGTCACCACGAGCGAGACAAGGCGCGGTGCTGATGCAAGTGCCGAGGGCGTCCAAAGGGATTTGCTACCAATCATTGAAGGAAGGTACGAACTTTCTTTCCCACCGGTTTTGGTTCTTGTTTTGTAATTAGTCTTACTGCAGTGTTGTGAACACGAAGTACGGCAATGTGAATACGGATCATATCCTGTTTATTTGCAGCGGTGCATTTCACTCCTGTAAACCAAGTGACATGCTTGCGGAATTGCAAGGAAGGCTGCCTATTCGTGTTGAACTGAAGGCCCTTCAACGCGAGGTACTGCCGTAATTAGATTCGTTTTTTGCTTCAATCCTTTGATGCAGGACTTGTATCGAATTTTAACAGAACCAGAGATAAACATGTTGAAGCAACAACAATTGCTACTTGAAACCGAAGGCGTTGAGCTGATATTTACCGAGGATGCGGTCAGAGAACTTGCAAATGTTGCTGCAGAGGTAGATTATGCTATTCCGTCTTTCACTTCCTAACCTTGCCTCTTCTCACTTCATGAAGGTGAACAGATCTCTGGATAACATAGGCGCGAGGAGATTGCACACGGTACAACTTTGCCTTGTTTTTTTAGCATGCAATACCGTTCTGTTGTTGAAGCAGGTGATTGAGAGAGTTGTGGAGGACATTAGTTTCAGTGCACCAGAGAGGGCGGGAGAGAAACTGATAATTGACAAGGAGGTAAATGCGTCCATACGGCTGCTCTCCATACTAACTGTGAAGCATGCAGAAAGTGAGGAAGTCCGTTGGGGACCTTCTCAACAAGATGGATCTTTCAAAATTTGTCTTGTAGAGCGGGCAATTGAATTCATTCGGTTGGACACACAGGATTTCCAGGTTCTGTGCAAATGCGCTTGTTTTTGTTATCAATTGAAATTCTATGAAATTCTATGAACAGGAAATATCTAAAGTTGGATTAGTAGGGGATGGAACGTCTTGAAGCAGTGCATATAAGAACTTGGGATTAGTAGGTGGAGCAAGTTGATGGCACGTTTTGAAGCAGTGGAGTAGGGGGGTCGATGTACTGCCTCCTCAAGATGTTGTCAGCCATGACCCCGTAGAAATGCTGGGTGTAGTGAATTCCGTCCCAGCTCATATACTTGTTGGGATCGCTGCAAGGCGTCACGGTTCTATCGCAGCCACAGCCAACCAGTCCAGCTTTGCAGTTGTAGTCGCCTCCACCACCGCAGCAGGCACTATCGACGTTCACAAATCCCAGCTCGTACGAGTTCCTCAAGAAGTCGACGCTGGCCTCGTAGAAGTCGAAGTACATGAAGTTGGCAGAGGGGTACTCGCAGCGCAGGGCATCCACGGTCTCCCTGATCTTCTCGTTGAAGGCCTGGACAAGGCTGTTCGCATCAATGACGCATCCCAGCTCGTCTTTGGCGGAGTACTTGCCCCTGGCGAGATAGATCGGGGTGCAGCCAGCAGCAGGCATGTTGAAGATGAGGAAGTGGACAGCAGAGCCATTGACATGGAGGTTGGCGATGGAATCCTTCAAGCTCTGGACGACTCTGGGGATGACGTTCTGGACGATGCTTTCGTACGACAGGTTCCCAGGGACGAGAGCGAAGTTGATGTCGTTGCCACCGATCTCGATGTAGTAGAGCGCGTTGCTGAAGAGGCGGGCGGCGGTGGCGTTGGAGCTGACGACCTGCTGCTGGTAGCCGAGGAACTGCGCGACTTGAGCTGGAAGGATATCAGGATTCATGTTGGGATACGGCTGGGGGAGAACGGTGGCTCCAGCAGAACCAAAGCCGAGGCTGGCATAGGTCGTGTCGCTGGGGTCCCTGGCCAGGCTCGGCTTCTCCATCACGCCCGTGAAGCGCGTGTTCAAGAAGTCGATGATGAGGTAGCCGTCGGAGAAGCGGCCAGTGACCTCGCCGATGGTCATGCCATAAGGTGGATAGTCGGCATCAACAGCGCCAGGCAAGGCGAGCTTGAGATTGCCCGTGTCCGAGAGAGAGTCCGTGAAGCCAAAGACCGCGTTGGGAATCACGTAAGGATACACTGCAGCCTGGACGACGATGGAGCCAATCAAGAAGAAAGAAAGCAAAGCTAGAAGAGAAGCCATTGTTGCGTGCTGAGTTTAGAGCTCGAGGAGTCGTTTATATCCTTCGAATCGTCGGTAAAATTAGAGCTTGCAATATATTTTTATAAAGATCCTACTACGTACAAGTTGGCAAGCGTTATTCTGGGCGATGCAATGCTTGGGTTCGAGGATAACACGAGATTTGCTGCTTGCTCGCCACCTTTGACGTCGCCATGCATGAATGAAGTTCCGAGTAGTGTATTATAGGGGACGATGTCGCTGGACGAGCTCCATTTGCTACTCGCGGCGGCGGCGAGCTCCCGGGCCTGTGCCAGGCGCCCGGATCGTCCCAAGAGATCGACAATGCAGCAGTAGTGGTGGCACCACGGAGTTAAGTTGTGATCGCTCAGCATCGAGACGAAGAGGGCGAGAGCCTCTCGGAGGAGGCCGCGGTGGCTGCAAGAAACGAGAGAGTTGAGGAAGGAGATCTCGTCGGGTGCTCGGCCTTCGAGGAGCAACTTGGTCGCGAAGATCTCGAGAGCTTCTCGTCCTCGCCCGCACTGGGCGTACGTGGAGATCATGGCGTTCACCGAGGCCAAGTCGTGCTCGGGCATGGAGTGGAACGTGAGCTTGGCTCGCTCGAGGTGACCATTGCGAGCAAATGCCGCGGCCAAGCATCCCCACGAGACCGCGTCCCGCTCGGGCATCGAGCAAAAGAGCTCCATCGCCGATTGCAAATCGCCCTCTTGGCCGAAGAACTGGAGCATCAGGCTCCACGATGCCAGATCCCACACCGGCATTGAATCAAACGCTTGCCTTGCAGAGATCGCGTCCCCGGTTACCAGCAGCAGCAGCAGCCACGAATTCCACGAGAAAACGTCGCGCTCTGGCATCCGATCAAAGGCCATCTTGGCTTCCTCCGCTCGCCGGTTCTGCACGAACGCGTGGAGGAGCGCATTCCAGGAGATTGAGTCGCGCTCCTCCATCCTATCGAACATCTCTTTGGCAGCGTCGAGATGCCCGTTTTGAGCATACGCTACGATGCCCATGTTGCACGCCACCATGTCCACCTCAGGTAGCATGCTGAAAACACTTGCAAACTCTACCATCTTTCCACTGTCTGAAAATCCCTGTAGCATTGCCGTAAACACTACAACGTTCCTCAGAGGCATATTTTTGAAGGCGATCATGGCGTTTTTGAGATGCCCTTTCGAGATATATGCCGATATGAGACTCGTCCAGGTGATGATGTCGGGATCAGGAGTCGATCGAAAGAATAACTCAGCCTCCTCAATCTCACCTCTTTGTCCGTGCCCAGCGATCATCGAGTTCCAAGCGGCTGTGCCTCGAAAAGGCGCTGCATCAAACAAGTTCTTGGCTATACACATTTGCCCCTTCAGGGCATATGCTGAAATTACAGTGTTCCAAGAAGCTTGGTCGTGCTCAGGCATAGAATCAAAAAGAAGCTTAGCAGTATCACAATCTCCATTTGCAATGTAAGCGCTGAGAATGCAGCTCCAGGACACCAAGTTCCTCTCGAGCATCGAATCAAAAATGGCTCTAGCGCTAGCTAGGTCCCGTGCCCCGGCAAATGCGTCTAGCATGGCAGTCCAGGAAACGACGCTCCACTCCGGCATGCGATCAAACATGATCCATGCTTCCCGAGTCATTCCTTTCTTTGCATACCCACTGATCATTGAATTCCACGACACAACGCTACGATCCTCCATGCTATCAAACGTAGCTTTTGCTTCAAGCATGTGCCCGGCTTGGGCATATGCTGCAATGAGTATGTTCCAGGATACAACATCCCTCGCGGCTGCTTGATCAAAAAGAACTTTGAGTTTCTCAACGTTCCTACGCTTGCTGTGTAAATTAAGAATGAAATTGAGGGAGTGGGCGCTGGGATGGTGGAGTTGTTTGTAGACATCGTACGCTTCATCGGTGCACCCACACTGGCAATACATTTGTACGAGCAGATTGCCGAGACGCTGGTTTGCTGCATGCTGTGATTGGAGAATGCAGCCATGGACTTGCTTTGCAAGAGTTGGATTCTTGGCTTTGCCACAAGATTTAACCTTTGCAACGAGATGCTTGAGAGAGAAAGGCGACTCAAACGTCAATGGCTCCACTTCCATGCAAGAGAAAACTCACTGTATATTTTTACACAATCCCATGAACTCCAGGAAGAGTTTCCAGGAGGAAGTGATTCTTCCTTCACGTTACTACACCTGCTAGCAATTCATACGATGACGATCTCGCTGGATTGAGCTTCAACACATTCATGGCCGCGGAAACTCCAATCACGGCCTGCTTGTGGTTCCGGCAAGCTCCAAGCAAGCAACTCCAGTCTCGAGCCTCGGGAGCATACGGCATGTTTGCAATCACCTCCCTCGCATCGCCCAGGTATCCAGCACGTCCCAGGAGATCGATCACGCAGCTGTAGTGCTGCTTGCTGGGCTTCAGTTCATAGTCTCGGATCATCGACACGAAGAAGCTGTGGCCGGTTGCAACATCGCCCGCATGGCTACACCCGGAGAGGATGTTCATGACGCCAACTTCGTCCGGATCAAACCCATCCGCCACCATTCTCCCAAACAATCCAAGTCCCTCCTCCAGATGCCCGGCCTGGCAACACATCGACAGCACCGTGCTACGCGAAACACAGTCCACCTCGGGCATTCTCGCAAACATCTCCGCCACCTTTCCGAGGCTTCCGCGCTGCACAAGCCCCGCGAGCACCGAGTTCCACGACATGACATCCCGAGCTGGAACGCTGTGGAGCAAAAAAATCGCCTCTTCCAAGTCTCCTGCGTGGATCCAAGCAGCCACCATCGCGTTGCAAGCCGCTATGTCCCACTCGGGCATCGCTAGAAACACGCGCTCGGCCTCTTCGATATGCCCGGACTGGGCATAGCCAGCCAGAAGCGAGCACCACGATATAGCGTTCCGGGCCTTCATCGTGTCAAACACAAACTTTGCCTGCTCGATCTGGCCGCGGTGGGAGTAAGCCGCGAGCAAGCAGTTCCAGGATCCCACGTCCCAGCACGGCATTCTCTCAAAGAGCCCTTTTGCCTGATCCAAGTCTCCATTCTCCGAGTACGCAGCCAGCATCAAGTTCCACGATATGAGATTGCTCTCCTCCATCGCGGAGAAGAGCGACTTTGCCTCGCCAAGCATCCCGCTGCAAGAGTAGACGTTGAGCATCACGTTCCAGGAGATGGCATTTCGATCGGGCATGGAATCAAACAACGCCTTGGCCTTGTCGTATCGTTTGCTCTGAGCGAATGCAGCGAGCATGGCCGTCCAAGACACCAAGTTCCTCTCCGGCATCACATCGAAGAGGCTCTTCGCCAACCCAAGGCTGCCGTTTTGGGCATAGCCAGAAACCATGGCCGTCCACGACACGATGTTCTTCTCCGGCATCCGATCAAACATAAACTTGGCCTGGTCAAGATGCTTGTTCTGGGCGTATGCAGTGAGCATGGCAGTCGTAGACACGAGATTCCACTCCGGCATCGATTCAAATACAGACTTCGCAAGAACTAGCCCCCCTTCCTCTGAAGACGCAGCGAGGATCGCGTTCCAAGAGCTCAGTCTGCGGCCAGGCATAGTCTCGAAAACTTCTTTGGCTCTTCCAAAATGCCCGTTCTGGGCATATCCAGCAAGGAGCGCATTCCACGACACCACGTCTTTCTCCGGGATACGATCAAACACCACCTTCGCCTCGTCAACGCTTCCGTTTTGTAAATAGGCAGTAAGGATTGAGTTCCAAGAAACAAGGCTCCTCTCCGGCATCCTCTCAAACACAAACTTGGCTTTCTCCAAATGCCCCCTTTGGGCATATGCGGCAAGCATGACATTCCACGACGCCACACCTCTCTCGGCACGCAAATCAAACATCGCCTCGGCGTCCTTGAATCTCCTGTTCTGCGTGTACACCGCCAGCATCGAGCCCCACGTAATCTCGTCCCTCTCCACCATGCGATCGAACACCCATCGCGCATCCTCGGCACTGCCGTAGCTCCCAAACTTGCGAATGAGCAAATTCGCCTCATACACGGAGTCAAATCCTCGCTTGGCAGTAGCAATCTGGGCCGAGACACGCCGCAAATCCCCCACACTCGTGCAAGATTCGATGAGCTCCACGGATTCCTGCGCTGCCCATCTCATGATCTCTCATCTCGAGCAAAGCAAAGCGATTTCCTGGATAGATCCAAGCACACCCATCACGATCGCAGCCCCTTCTCGATCGAGCTAAACGGCTTCGCGACGCGGTGATTGACGCGAGTGTAGTCCCCAGTGGTGAGCTTCACCCATTCCGTCTCGTCCCGGCACTTCTTCCTCACGTCCGCGTCCTCGAGATCCAGCCCCTCGATCTCCGCGAACATCCTCTCGGCGTCGTCCACCTCCGGACACCTCCGATAGTTTCGTATCAGGTAGGACTTGTAGATCTCGTCGCTGCGCACGCCATGACTGCGCATCGTCGAGTGGACGATCTTGCAGTCCTCGAATCCCGTGCACGCCGCCAGCGCCGCGAGGTAGATGCACCGATCGGGGGTGACGTTCTTGCGCAACATCTCACGGAAGACAAGGATCGCGTCCTTGAACGCGAACGCCGCGACGTAGGCCTCGATGAGCGCGCGGTACATGTTCACGTTGTGGTTCTCCTCGCCAGCGCCATCGAAGATCGCCCTCGCGGCCTTGAGATCGCCGCAGCGCGAGAACATCGCCATGAGCTGGACCTGGAGGAAGCTGTTGTCCTCGAGATTGGCCATCACCACGATCGTCTGGACGACGCGGGCTTGCTCCAGATCGGCCGGGCACTCGTAGCGATCCATGAGCTCCGTGAATTCGTTCTTGCTCAGCACCAGGATCCCCTCGAGCAGCAGCCTCTGGAACAGCACCGCGGCCTCCCGCAAATGCCCAAACTCGGCATTTGCTGCGATCATCGCGATCCACGGCGGCACGAATCCCTGGCGCTCCACCTTGGCGAAGCAGGCGCTGGAATCGGCGAGGCTCTCGCACTTGGCGTACATGTTGATGAGCGCGGCCGCGACGCTGGGTCGCTTCTCCAGCGCGCTGCGCACGATCGCGGCGTGGATGGCCTTGCCCTCCTTGAGCGCGGCGGGGCCGACGCAAGCGCGAAGAACCGCGAGGTAGGCGCCCTCGTCGGGGAAGATGGGCACGAGCTTCATCTTGAGGAAGAGCTCGCGCGCGGTCTTGTGCTGGGAGTTCTTGGCGTGCGCCTCGACCACGCTCGTCCACGCGATGATCTCCTTGGAGAGGATCTCCGCGAAGGCGCGGCGCGCCTCGTCCGGGCGGCCGCATTTGCCATACATCTGCGTGAGCTTGATCCCGGGGACGCGGTTGCGCTCGAGGCGATTGAGATGGATGTGGGCGTGGACGTCCTGGCCCTCCTGGAGCGCGCGGAGCTTGCCGCACAGGTCGAGGATGTTGGCGTAGTCCTCGTCCTCGAGGCGCTTGTTCCACGAGTTCATCTCGTGGACCAGCGCCGCCAGCTGCGCGCGGTCGCGGTTGCTGTTGTAGAGGCTGCGGTCGAAGCGCGCGTGGATCTTGAGTGTGATCCAGCGCTTGAAGATATTCATGATCTCCTTGGTTTCGCCAAGAACCCTAATTTCATGATCCAAGAACCCTAATTTCTTTCTTTGCGCGAGCTGGGCTAGGCGAAGTATCCCTGCTTGAATCGCGCGTGCATTTGCCGGAATTTCTCCCACCCATCCGCCACGCTCTCGCAGCGCTTGTACCTCTCGATCAGCACCTCGCGCAGCACCGGCCCCAGCTTGCATTTCCTCTCCACCACCCATGCATGGACGCTCTTCACCTCCTCAAAGCTCCTCGCGGCGCTGGCCATGGTGAAGACGGTCTCTTGCGTCGGCCTCGCCTTGCAATCGCCCTTCATCTCCTCGAACAGCGGGAAGATCTTCGCTCGCTGCGTCCGATCGAACGCGTAGGCCCGGATGAGCGAGCTCCACAGGTACTTCCCTCGCGGCCTCGCCATCTCCTCGAAGACCCTCCTCGCGCGGCTCACTTTCTTACATCGCCCATACATTCGCATCAGCGCTTGCGCCACGCGAGGCTCGCCCGCGAAGCCTCCGATCACCGCCAGCGAATGGATTGCCTCGCCGCGCCACAGATCGCTCCGCCGATCGCACCGCGATAGCATCCACACGAAATTCCTGGCGATGAAGAGCAGGGATCCATCTAGGAGAAGCAGCCGGGCAAATTGCGCGGCTTCTTGCATTTTCCCACTCTCGGCAAATGCGGCAATCAGTGCGATCCACGAGCTCGCGTTCCTCTGCCCAGCGCGATTCATCCTCTCGAAGAACTCCAACGCCAGTTGGGGCGCCTCGCAGCGCCCATACATCGCGATCACCGCATTGCACACGTTAGAATCACCGTCCAGCCCCGCAAGCCCGAGCTTGGCGTGGATGTCTCGCCCAAACTCCAGGCACCGCGATCCAGCGCAGGCGCCAAGAACAGCGATGTAGCAATCCTCGTCGGGGCGGCACGGGCGGAGCAGCATCTTCCGGAAGAAGTACCTGGCGTGATCGAGTCGATCGTTCTGGGCGAGCGACGAGATCACGGCGGCCCACAGCGGCGCGGGCTTGGAGAAGAGATTGTCGAAGCAGCGGATCGCGCGGTGGGGGAATCCACAGCGGCCATACATCCGGATGACATGGGCAGTGATCTTGGACTCGCGCTCCAGCCGGCAGTGGATGAGATGGCGGTGGATCTGGTTGCCCTCCCTAGCGGCGCCCAGGCGGCCCGCGAGGCCCAGGATGGTGGCGTACTCGTGGGGGTGGAAGGGATCGTCCCGCCCCCTCGATTTCATCCTGTGGAGCTCCCGGAAGAGCGTCACGCGGTCGCGCTCCTCGCAGGGATGGCGCCGCACACGCGCATTCTCGCGCGCAAAGCGCTCGCGCTCGCGGAGAGCGCGCACGCGCCTTGCCCGGAGGAATGGCTTCATTCCCGCCACAAAACATCTGCTCTGACCTAATTCGATTTTAAAAGCACTGGTTTTCTTAGGAAATTTTTTTCTATGCGATGAAAGCTAGCACAGCCATTCTTGCCTATTCCCTACTTCTCCTGGATGGATCTCTGCTCTTCATCGCCAGGAACTTCGTGTGGATGCTATCAGTGCGGTCGCCGGACGATCCATTCGCCGGCGGCGATCGGGGGCCTCGTAGGCGCAAGCACTGATGAGAATGTACGCGGGATGCAAGAAGGTGAGTCGCGCGAGGAGGGTCTTCGAGGAGATCGCGAGGCCGCGAGGGAAGTACCTGTGGAGCTCGCTCACCCGGGCCAACGCCTCAACGAGCGAAGATCTATCCTCTCGTTTATGAATACATGAATAAGCATAACTTCTTTTATCTTCCTTCAAATCCGCCTTTGATCGGCTTTGTTTCTCTGGTTTGCAGCGAATCCAAGGCACCTCAGCTGGAATAAACGCGTTGAGATTGCTCTTGATTCAGCCAAAGGACCTTCACGAACAGAGACATCAAGTCCGGCGGGAATCTCGAAGCCAAGGTTGCTCACTTCGGTCCGGGAAAGGACGCAGTCAAAGGAACACTGGTAAAGCAAAAACTTTCTTCTTTTTCTCTTCATCTTGATTGCTCTCTTCCACGTTCCAGAATACTGTTCGAGGAGATGAAGAGCGATTGCAAGGCGAGGCCAACGCAATAGACTATCTTCGCCATGGCCAGTGCTTCGAGGAGGTGAAGAGCGTCCGTGGCCGGTGCTGCGCGAGCTGCTGATCGTGGCAAAAGTTCTTGAGATTGAGCTAACCAAATCAAGTACACAGGACTAGTCATGATCCCATGTACAATATGAGGAGTCTGCCGCTATCCGGCAGTTCTTTGAAGCCAAAAGGTCTTGAAGCTCCAACTTTCCTGTGCTATAGCTGAGGGTTCAGATGTATCATTTTCAGGTCAACTCCGTGCGTGACAAAGGAAAATTATCATGGAATCGGCCTGTAAGGACGTGGATTGTTTTAGCGTCGACAACGCTCTGGTAAGATTTTGTTTAAATCGGCAATACTTCCTTAGGTTCATAGACCTTCTTTCTTTACAGATTCTGGCCGACATTTGATTTCTTAATATCCAAAGTCACCTAATATGAGAAAAAGTTAGAGTCTTTGAATGGGGCAATGTAAGATGTGCTTTCTCTTTCCCATGCTTCCAACTCTTCTACTCCTTAAATGTTTTAACTGCAGTGACGGATGAATTGGAGCAAGACAGCATCATGTCAGTAGGCTCAATTTTTTCATTATGAATGTGTCTTTCTCCTGAGGTTGCAGGTACCATGTTGCTGAGAAGACAATAATTAGAGCAGTATATAGTCGATGCGTTTCCATATGCTCCATCGGTGGCGATTTCCGAGGTATGCTGGAGTGGTTGCTAGCTAGTTTTCAATTTCTTTTTGCAGGTTTTGTAAGAGAGGAAGAAATGCAAGTGGAGTGGACTCGTCAGAATCGGCTCGATTCTAACTATATCAACAGTTTTTTTTTTTATTGCAAAGTTGAGTTTCTAGATGACAAAATTTCTGCCCCCATCGCAGAATATCACGAACGCATTATTCACTCCACAAGAAACTGACCTTCGTTTTTTTTTTAAAAAAAAAATTCCTCTAGCGTATTTCACAAGGGACATGAAAGCTCCGTCCATGACATATCTCTTCGAGATTTTCGCCTGCATACGAGATCAAAGGACTGACCTCCACTCCTGCAGGATATTCAAGTTCAAGAGACAAACTAAATACCAGTTAATCCATCCATACCAGTTAAATGTAATGGCACCGAGTGTAGAATGAAACCTCCCGCTGCTACCACCCAGCGCATGTGGAGGCGAAGAAGTAACAATCGAGCCGATTCTGGCGAGTCCACTCCACTCGCATTCTTCACCGGAGCAAACTCTTCCTCTCTTACAACCTGCTAAAACAAGAATTTGAAAACTAGCTAGCAACCAATCCAGCATACCTCGAAAATCGCCACCGATGGAGCATATGGAAACGCATCGAATATATACTGCTCTAATTTGATGCCTTGGACAGGCCCGTCCGCGGAAGGTATTGTCTTCTCAGCAACATGATATCTGCAACGTCAGGAGTGAGATCCAATCATAAAAGAAGAAACTTGAGTTCCAGGAGCTACTTACATGCTGTCTTGCTCCAATTCATCCGTCACTGCAGCCAAAAACTCTAAGGAGTACATTTGCATACAAATCTGAAAAAATAGAAGAGTTGGAAGCATGCGAAAGAAAAAAGCACGTCTTACATTGCTCCATTTAAAGTTCAATCGTCCTGTCTCTTGGTTGACCGAGGAAGCGAGAGCAGGATCCAGCTCACTGTATTCCAAGACGGCCACAGGTCCGTTCTTTGCACGTCTCACGAAGACTCCAACTCTTTCTTGAGGATACAACTATGAAAACACGCATAGGTGACTTTGGAAGAAAGGGGGAAATTTAAAAAATCAAATATATACCTTCTTCACAGCTTTGGCAGCACAGCTGACGTTTCTATCGATGCAGTAGCCTAGAAAGAGTGGGTCTGCTACCCGAACCTGTAAAGAAAGTCTATGAATCTAACGAAGTTTACTGATTTTTTTTAAACGAAATCGTACCAGAGCATTGTCTACACTGAAACAATCCACGTAATGAATGCCTCTCTTGGCCATATCTTCCAAATGGCCCGAGGTCTTCAAAGCTGTAAAAGTATACCCATTAACTTCAGTCGGAGTAAGATAGAAGTCATAACGCGTACCTGCGTAGACTCCACCATTTCCGTCTGGGGCCCTTGAAATCTGCAATGCCAGCTATGTGATGAAACACTTAGGCTTTCAACAGCTTATCAACACCTTACAGGCAGATTCCATGATAATTTTCCCTTCCTTCGTCACGCAAGGAAGCGTCCCTTGTTGAAAGAAGATTACCTGAAATGATACACGGTAAGCATCTTCCCTTTAGCACAGGAAAGTCGGATCAAACCTGTTGTGCTTCAAGACCAAAGTACTTTTTGGCTTCAAAGAATTGCCGAGTAGCGGTGTCTGTAAATGGACTCGTCATAATGTACCATGGGATCATGACTAGCCTTCCTGTGTATTTGATTTGGTTAGCCCAGAAGAACAGTTCTCAAGAACTCTTGCATACCTGAGCCAGCCCGATTCGAGGCTAGTTTTTGTATTCTCAAAATTCTCTCTGCCTGGAGCTGAAACAGTGACTTTCCCGAAGGCAAACCGATATCTGTTCGAAGTGGAAATGGAAACTCGTAAGAAAAAGCCAGGGAATCGAGCGATAACTTACTAATGCATCCCTTTGGATCATTACTACCCAAGCGTGTGCCCTGCAAGAAAATGGCCAAGGTTTCCAGGCAACAAGACAAGGAATTTGAGGATACCTGGCCCCCTGACAATAGCAGCACCGCCAGTTTTCCTTCGGAGATCGCCTTCAAGCCCAATCCCCACCATCTTTCCCTTTCCTGGGCAGTCCTTTCTTCAATACAAGACACCGACGCTTCTGCTAGCGGCACTGGATTTCTCAGAGAATCTCCTGACAAAACAAAGCGTTTAAGCTTGGACCAAAAGCGAGACCGCGAAGAAAAAATTCCTCCTAGATATCTCACCGCGCTGTAGTGTCTTCCTCGCAATCCGCGAGACGCGAGGAAGATCTACCGCCTGCAAGCAGAGATTTCTCCAGATCAAGCCACAAATTGCCACATTTCCCACCTCCAATTCGCAGATCAGCTCGTCGCGCTCCACCTCGTTCAGCTCCTTCCAGCGCCCCAGCGTGTGCTCCTGCCCGAAATCCTTGAGCCGCTCCAGGAACGCCTGTGGCGGGAGCATCGATTCGCCGCCAGCTTCGAGCAACGCCTCTCCCATGGCGCCGTGATCTCTAAAACCCTACCGGTCCTCCAAGGCACACCTTATATATGCGAAGAAAAAAAAACTACTGGCCCGAGAGAAAGCATATTCAATGGATGCTCTCTTACGACAGTGTTAATGAACGGATCTCACTTTGCTCCACGTACTCCGGATATAGAAAAATTCCAAAAACTCTTTGTTCTAACCATGAGCTTCTTCCGTATTGACAAATCATCGAGTTCTTCACGGAATCATCGAGTTCTTCCCAGTTCTTCACGGAAAAATCAATGCGAGGAGCTCAGCGTCTTCACTTGCGATTAATCTGGAAGAAGCCAGTCAAAAAATCCCACCTTGGTATACTTCCTTCCTTTTCCATACTCGATCAAAACGCTCCAGAGTTCCAGCACGCTCCACTTTTGTTCTAAAATCCAGTCGGCTATTCTCTGGAGCTTCGTGGTACGTGGATCTTTGAATGTGTAGTACAACAGGAAGGGGCGGCCAGCCTGCAAAGGTTTCTCATCGTCCCAAAGCATGAATTTTTGCGACATAGAGATGCTTACCTCCGAGGCAGCCAGCCACTGGAGCATGCTCTTAACTTCATGGTCCCCGCCAAAGACCCCACATCCCCAGTTGCCGGTGGCTACTCCACGAGCGCTTTCACTCGAGCCACCGCATTGAATCGACTGATGGACGAGAAAGCCACAGTATGCCTTGTTAAGTTCCCTGGTACAGTAAAAAGTTCAAGGAAAAAAAAAAGAAAAGTCACAACGAAAAAGTATCGAAAACGAGAGCCTACCGCAGCATTAGCGCAGCGTCGAATTGTGCTTCTCCCGGAAACGGGAGAGCGTCAATGGCCACAATGTGCGTTTCCTTTCGACCCCATGCATCTCTGGCTTTGTTGTCGAAGAACTTTCCAGCAAAACGAAAGCTCGAGGCATATCTATCGGGAAAATGAAATGGAAAAGAAGTTGGAACGCTTTCGTGGTAAGATAAACTTGGCGTACCCCTCATATCGATTGTAGCACTGCGTCCCGACTATTTCTATTGCTTCATTGTCTTGCATTGCCGGTAAGAAAAGCCTTCCAGCGATCAGTTCGGGATTGATTACGCATCTAATCTCCTCCTGTCACAATTGTTCACATAACTTTTAAACGTAGAGAAGTCTACCTGCAAGCATCCGGCGCCGAGTACACCACCACCTAAGACCCTGTTGGCGAAATCCACCTCCAAAACGGGAGTATCACTACCTTCTATAGTGCCATCTTCCATTACCTGAAAAGAAGAGAACAAGTTAAGGAACTGACAACGCTTGTGACTAAGACCAGTATTTGACACAGCGGTCTCGAGGAACTGCTCCAGAAAGAGAGAGGATCCTCCATCTCTTGTTCCAAAGACAACACCTTGCGCTCGTAAGAAATCATTCCTTGCGGTACGCTTTCACAAACAATCTGAAAGTAATGCAACAAGCATATGATCTTGTGCTTGGCACTCTCTTCTCGATTCTCATCAACCAGTGCCCTGCAAAAAGCAACAGATAAACAGAAAGGAAAAAAAAACAAAGCCCGGTGTAACTTACATGAAGAGTTTATAGAAGTTTAAGTCGGGAAGATCCAATTTGTTCCTCTCTGCCGAAGGATACAAGCAGAAAAACCCGCACGCTAGAATCGATGCCACAAGCTCCTGGTGGTGATCTGCTGGCATAAGAGAATGAAGAACTCAAAGAAGAAAATGGATGAAATCTTTTACCTGGCTCAGCAAAACCATGCCACTTTGTCCGGCGGGAAGAGCACGCAGCTGCAAAAAATCCAGTTGTGATGGAAAGCGATCGCTCACGCTGCCATCAATGTGATCCTTGACAAGCGCCGACAGCCTCAAGGCGAGCTGAGCCATCGCTGGCAGCAACGAGCCAAAGAATCCGCGACAGAAATCTTCTGGTACGAGCTGGAAGCCAGATTTTTTTGCACAACTGGATCAAGAATTTCGGCTTACCTCGCGGAAGAACAAGCCCATTCCTTGCACAGCCCTAGCCGGAAGCTTGGCATCTCTCATCCCGCCCCGGTGACGCATCTCCACGATGTAATCCAGCAGGGCCTCTCCGGACGAGACGCGGCTGATCGCCGGGCCCTGCGCAAGCTCCGAGAGCGCCATAGAAACGCCGATCGGCCATTCCAGGACCTTGGACGCTTCATCCAGTGTGAGAGGCAACAAAGGCGCCATACCCATAGCCATTAGGGCAACACACGTTCAACATTTGTTAATATAGAATATTCCCTAGCAATTTAAATTACCTTAGGGCTTGGGCGATGGAGGCAGTGATAGTCGAGCCGCCGCAGGATGCGACTGTACATGCCGTGTGCTTGCCGGAACTGGGGAGAGTGCAGGAGCGAGTTGTGTTAATTTTCCATGTAGCTTATCCGAGCGTAATAGATATTCACCTCTATTCTGTGCATCTCCAACTTCTCAAGTTACGCCGATCTCGGCTCATGGATCACATTCGAGCATCTCTGGAGCTGTCAACGTTCGGTACTCCACGAGCTCTGGAGCTCGCATTCACAAAGTAAGAGTATGTGCATTGTACTTTTTCCAAAACATCGGTGGTTCGTTTGCAGGATGAATGAAGAGCTGCGGGCTGTGGTAGGAACATCAGATTGCTGGGTATGTGGTGGTGATTACTGCTGTTGCTGTAAATGTTTGCTTTGGTTCTGGTTATAGGATTGGTGTGCGCAAAACAGGTCCTTGGTGGTGGTGCTTGGAGACGCGCATGTGTATGTGTTTGGCGAGGCCTTTGCGTCGGTGATGCTGTGCCGAAATGGGAAGGACGAGATGCTGACCCGTCCAAGTTCTCTCTACCGTCTCAAAAATGCTAGCCCCCCGCAAAGTAGCAGTGAACCTTTTTATTACCACAAGGTACTCACTCTTTTGTTGAAATTTGTTATTCTGGAAGCTTGGTGGACGCAGGAGCGGGTGACTACAGCAGACACCTATCTTCTCGTTGCATCGGCGCACCTGGGTTGTCACATGGATGGCGATTATACTAGCGTTTTCACCACTCGGATTGACGCAATGGTGAGTATTTTATACTTTTGATCCTCAAACGAGCTTGTAATGTGCGAACTAGTACAGGGCCTCGAGGAAGCTTGCCGCCAGATTGCTGCAGGGACCGATGAATGCAGGACGTTCGCACTAGTTCCTGTTGGAGAGCTGCTGCGACAGAAAGTGGCCAATGGAGAGGAAGACCCAATCGATTTGAATCCCGAGCCTGTGGACGAATCTGAATCTGAATCTGAATCTGAATCTGAAGATGAAGATGAGTTCGAAGACGAAACAGCGATGATAGAGTTATATGATGTTACACCCTGTGGTTTCCGCCCCCTAGGTACGTACAGGACATCAATTATAGCTATATGACCATATTACTGCTTTCAGTCAATGGGAACGCTCAAGTACCCGAACCCTTTATCTGTTGCAATCCCGGACCTCCTAGGGACCCCTGCATAAAGGTGATGGACCTCAAGGTAATAATACTTCAAATTTCCCTCTTGTGGTTTTTTTTTCCAGAGTTCTTGGTTTGAGATTTAGTGGCTTTTGATCAGGAAAAGGACCTCAAGCTTGTTTGTAAAGTCGGCTCTTGCAAGTTTGTGATTAAAAGCGGGGACATAAAAGAGTGGTTTGTGGACGGAAGGAAGGACGCAATTGTAGTTCCTGTTGGAGGTCAGATACACAGAGGTAACGCAAAGGGGTATTTGGCATTTTGACATGAGCTTTTGTCTTTTCTTTTCTCTTCAGAAATAGGTTTTGCCACTGGGTCGAGCTTTACTGGCTTGGATATCATGTAAGTGTCTTTCCTTATTTCGTTTTCCACCTTTTAACTGACTCGTTTCTCAGCCCTTCAGGAGGACTGCCAGCACCTAAAATCATTATTACTAGAGGCCCAAAATACTTCAAAGACATGGAGACGGAAGCTGCCAAGCAACTTGGTCTCACTTATGAGTATGTCGGAGTGTGTAGCAAATTTGATACATTGTGCTTTTGCTACTACAGGAACGCTATAACATTTGCTCGCAAGAAAGGCGTGAAGCACATAGCGCTCCCAGCTATCTCGTGCGGATGTGGCGGGTTTGTTGCTCACACTTTACCTCTTGTATACTGAGTTCGCATTGTGTTTCAGGGTTCCTCTGGATAAAGCGGCACGGATTGCTGTGGAAAGCGTACAAAAGGCACTCAAAAGTGCTAAAGCGTCCATTGAGGTAAGCTGCCCTGGATTAGACATGCCTTTGTTATTCAGTGTTCGAAATTGTAGGTTCACTTTGTCATAAAGGACGAACCCGCCTGGAGAGTGTGGGTAGCTGCAACAGACCTCCTTGCATTTTGGAATTATGATCGCTACCTATCTTATCGGTGCAACAGACCTCCCTATCCAGTCCGTGAATGAGAAGTAGAATAGTTACACCTGGTTTGTTTTGGCTTAAATTGGATTTAATAGATAAACTAGTCCAGTAAACTTTGCGCGTGATGATCTCCGGGCTGGGCTCCCGCGACGCGCAGCGCATCTTCTTGTCCGTGGATCTCAAGGGGCCGAGGCCGTGATGGCGGCGATGATCGAGTCATGCTGCGACGCCGCCGGGATCGCGAGCGCCCGCGCGACGGCAGCGCGAGAAGAGCTGGAGGCCAGGTTGAAGGAGAGGGACGAGGCCAACATCAGAAATTTTCGGTGATCTCTCGCGGTGCTTGCAACCACAGGAGAGTGATGGGGGGCTGAAGGTGGCGAGGGAGATCTCTCACCATTCCTACCTCAAGAAGAGGCAAGACAAGAAGCTGGAGGAGCTCAAGGACACACTCATCGACGAGGAGTTGCTGTTCGCGGGAGGTGTTTGATCTGGCCGAAGATGAAGGACACGAACGACAATCAGGTACCAGATTCTAGAGGCCTACAACGATGAAATCTCCAGAGTCAAGCAGGAGAGGCGGCTCTGGAGCGATACAAGGACCCGGATCCTGAGGACAAGGCTTGGGAGGACTACCAGAGCGGGAAAGCCAAGCTGAAGTTCGGTGCCACGGACAAGAAGAAGGCGGACGAGTACGAGTTTGTGAAGTCCAGTTTGTGCAAGCTGATTTCATGTCCAGCGAGAACCAGCCCATGGATGAGAAGGAGAGCAGGAAAGCTGGCACAACTGAAGCACAAGCACATTCTCGAAGAGAAAGAAGCTGTCAATCTATCCATACACTGGAGGCTATAGAGCAGTACCAGGTTCTTCTGATAGTGGGAGAAATGGGATCTGCTAATACAGAGAACAAGGAACCAAACATTAAAGAATATTCTGTTAAGATTTTAGTGGCAATATTTTTATTAAATAAATATGTTAAACTGTGAGTGCCTGGAATATGGAAAGGGAATACAGAAATGTGCATATCAATTAGCCCAAAAACCCTAGTTTATATACAGGAGCGAGTGGTCCGGATTGAAACCAATTCGACGGCTACCAAAATCCACTACGCTAATATTAGTATACGGCATCGTAGCTGTACACTTGGCCCTCACATCACCCCCTCCTCTCGGAATAATGGAAGGCCGTCAGGGTTCTCTTGTAGATGGGCCGGGATCTGGAGGAACGTTAGGAGGAGGCATCGGCAGATCTGTAGACGGTATTAACTGCTCCTGATCCCTTTGTATGAAGTGTTTTAACCGCTGCACATGCACAATCTCCGGAGGATTGGCCTGCTGAACGTCATGCCGAACCTCATAAACTTGCGGTCCAACTTGCCACAACACCCGATACGGTCCTTTCCACTGCGCAAGGAGACAAACCACGTACCGTAAGATGGGGAAAACGGACTAACACCAAATCATCCACTTTGTACTCCGCAGGTGGACGATGATGGGAGTTGTAGCGCCGTTGTTGTCCCACTTGTATGCGGCCTAAGTGTTCGGCAGACTCTGCTCTGACAAGTGGAAGAATGCTTGTCAAATACTGATCCCATGACCTAGCATCAGGAGCTCGTGGCAATCGCGAAGGTAAACCTAGCTCTGTTGGTAATATTGGATCATGACCATATAGAAGTTTATATGGTGAAGCACCAACAGAACTTTGCACCCCTGTGACATAGGCATACCGAAGAGATGGCAAATAACCATCCCAATCCGAATGCTGAAAGTTCACATACTTCGCAATCATCCCTTTGAATGTCCGAACGAGCCGTTCCACCAGATCGTCTGATTGTGGATGATAAGCACTCGTAAAAGTGTGGCGTATCCCCAACCGAGATGTCAAAACATGAAATACCTCAGCCATAAATGCAGGACCATTATCCGAAAGAATCCGCTCTGGACAAGAATGCTGGAACACCACTCGATTGAGGAGGAAGTATCCAACAGCAGTTGCAGAGGCGCTAGCAAGAGCACCAACTTCCACCCAACGAGTCAAGTAGTCAGAAGCAATAATAACATACTCATTGCCAGCAGTCGATCGTGGAAAAGGTCCCATAAGATCAAATGCCACCAACTCAAACGGACGGGAAACTGCAATTGACTCCAACCGTCCTTCCGCAGCACAAGGGGGAGTATTACGAGCTTGGCACCAAACGCAGCTACGCACATACCGGATAATATCACGTCGCATCTCCGGCCAATAGAAAGACCTGCGCAGCTTCTCGGTGACACGGTGTCCCATATGCCCACCTAGAATAGGAGAATCATGGTAGGCATGGAGAAACCGCGGAATAAACACCGAAGGCACCACCAACCGTAAATGATCATCAGGATCCGTCCCCACAAAATAAAGAAGGCCATCTTCAAGGCGATATTGAGAATGTAAATGCCGGAAAGGCAAGTCATCAGCAAGTGATGCAGGATTCTCAAACCCATCTCGAAGCCTTCGAATCCACGGCTCAATCTTTTGAGCCTCGCGAACCTCATCAAGAGAAGGTAGATCTTGCTCTGCGCCCTGTGGACACTGAACGTCAAGGACAGCAACCGCCGACGGCACAGAATCCTCATCTAGAAAATCCACAGACGCTGGAACAACAGGTTCGTCAGAACATGAGAAGTGAGTGGAGAAGGAAGAGGAGCTCGAGAAAGGGCATCAGCATCAGCCATAGAACTCCCTAGGCGATGAACAACATCGAAATCATATATCTGAAGCTTCAAAGCCCATCGAGCCGTACGACCAACCAAGTAATGTCCGAGAACCATGTAGATATGCATGAAGTTTCTCGAAACCCCAGACT